ATTTAATTGCATCTACTGGCTTGGATATTTAAGAAATCTTGTTGATGCATATTTTTCTAACAAGATCTCTCAAACATTCAGGATGGTAGATGTAAATAAATAAATATAGTGTTTAATAAATAAATAAAAACAAAACATCTACTCAAATATGAGTATTCATTTCAAAAATAACATTTAAACAAATAAATTAAAAAAAAAATCTGGCTGATTTAATCTACAGTGTAACCCGGATATAAGAGAGTTGTTGGGACCAGAGAAGAAGTCTCTTATATCCGGGTTTGGTCTATTTTGTTTACATTAACACAGGGTCTAATTTGGGACCAGAGAAAATCTCTCTTATATCCGGGTTACACTGTATTTCATATAAAATATTGAAAAGTATTAAATATATGCCAAGCAACTTCAGAATAAGTTAGAAAAATAATTTTACCTTAATTCCAAATAAGATTTTTTAACACTATTTTTAAAAGAGGACAACAGATGAAGAAAAAAAAAAAAAGAAGCAAAAAAGAAGAAAAAAAAAAAAGAGAAAGAGGCAGACCATTGGAGTGAGTTCATGTCAATGATTCACCTTTTTTTTTTTTTTTGTGAAAAGCAAACAACACAAGATGTAAAATCTAAGCTGTCAGATTTTCTGCTTTAGATTATCAAACAAATCATAAATTTAAAAAAAAAAAAAAAAAAAAAAAAAAAAAATGTATATACAAATCTGTTTCTCAGAGGAAATACCATTTTGTTAAGGAAAGGAAAAGAAAGGATACCAAAGAACCTGCTTTAGAATTTCATTATTTGTTTTTCTTTTTCATCTTGTCACATTTTATTTCCTTGGAAAAATAAGCATTCATATTTCAAAAAACGGAAATTAGATATTTTTTTTTATCCAATAGGTCACACACAACCAAAAAGTTTGGAAAGCTAAAATTTTATTAATTTATTGTTTTTTTTATTATTTAACATTAAAACACCAAAATGAAAATAATTTTTCAACTAACCTACAAGCTATGTGAACAGTATCTAAAAGGCAAAAAGGATTGATATATCACAAGAATATTTTTTTAATTATTTAAGTTGAATGCATTTTAACTAATGATGTCCTACAATTTTATAATTCTAAAATAAAAACTTTGCAGGAATTGAAATCTTGCAAAAACTGAATGAAAAACAGCAGATATTTAGAAGATAAAAATAGTTTCTCAGTTGGTTAATATCACCTTTTTATGAGTTTTATGACAGTTTAGAACATTACTATGAAATCTATGTATAGATATATGTATATTTATATATAAGAGTATTTTTTTTATATATGAGTATTTTTTAGTCAATAAGTATTAAAAATAGTTAAAAGAAGCATTAAAATTGCCAACAGATGAAATTCAGTTTACACAATTGTAAAAGAAAGTAGAAAAACAAACAAAAATGTAGGAGTAAATAACTAGAAAATTTAAAGTAATTAATTTTTTTTTTTTTTTAAAGAGCCCTAAAGTCAATGTTTTTAAAAGAAGAAAACAGTTTTAATATCTACCAAGATTTAATTTTTTCTTTAAAGTTTACAAACTTTAAAATTTAGTTTGTAATGTTTACTTCTTTTCTTTCCGTCTACAGCAGGTGAGAATTTTCAAGCAGATTGATCAGCAATATCAGTGAAATTATCCCAATTCAATTGGTTCACACCATTTTTATAGACTTAGTTTAACATAGGAAGGGGAAATATAGGAGGGAAGACAGTGCGGATCTAGTCTTCCAGATGGGGAGGGCCTGTTTGCCTTGAAGCGTCAACATTCGAGGTGATGGCTTTTATCTTGGTTCGATCATTGACCTTTGGCAAGAAAAAAGCAACTATCTTGCCACTAAGCTGGGCCCCCCAGCGCCAACCATTTTTATATCAGATATAGTTAATAAAAAATGGAATGCACATGCAGATACCAGTTTAATTATAATTTGGTTTATTGGAAGATGTTGTAGCTCAAAACATCATATGCTGGAATGTTTCAAGTAATGACAGGCACATTTACCATTTGTTATGGAAATAGTGAGACGGGGGGATAAGCAAAGAGGCACAAAAACTATGTTAAAGAAAATATATTGATGTAGGGAGTAAGCTTAAAAAATTAATCACCAAACAATGAAAATATTAACAGTATTGTTTTATTTAGCATTTTTAGCACCATGAAAGCTTAAAAAGGAAAAAGAAGGAAAAAAAAAAGTATCAACAAAATTTGCAGGACAAGGTTTGTTAAGGTAAAGATTGGAAAAAGAATTAATGAATGGAAGGACCGGATTTGAGTGTGTTTAGGAAGTAAGTTAAAATAGAATCCCCAAATTGATCTTAAGCACCTACAAAATATTCTGTTTTTATTTTGATAGTCTTTTACTATCAAATTCTTGCTTTGCTAATATTCCCACTTTAAATGGAATAAGTCGGAAATGTTCGGAATAGAGAGAAAGAAATAATCCCAATAGAATCAACCAAAAGAGAAAAAGAAAAGTCAAAGAAATGGCTTTCTAAACTGATATTAATTTGTAAGACTTTGAAAGAAAGAAAACCTAAAGCAAAATGTCTAACTCCCAAAAGAGCTGCCATTATTATAAAGTTTCTAACTGGCAATAAAGTGTTTGATTTTTTTGTTAAAAAAATAAAAATAGATAAAAAAAAAATCTGGAAATGAGCAAACCTGGAGAAAAAAAAAAAAAAAATTGCCCTATCTCTTGATATTAAGCTCTCTATTTGCAGAAAAACTGCTTGCCTTGGATACGTTCTCTTTCCAGATATTGCTTTGGTCAGTTGCATTTTGGGGTACAATAAAAGCCTTTCTTACTGTTACATGCATTTATGCATATAAGTATTTTATCAATAGATAAACTAAAAGCTACTTTATTTACATTTTTGTTTTTTATTAGTAAACAATGCCAAATAAACTACCCACAACTTACAAAAAAAAAAAAAAAATTATTATATCAGTTTCCATTTCCATCCTACCTGCCTGCCTAGCAGGAGTTTAACTTTTCTGATGCAGAAGCACTTATTGCTCAAGTGAGTTGAATATAAACTGGTCAATATTCACTGTCAGCAGAAACTATCAGAAATTCCGACATTGCAGTTTGTTACACCAAAAAATCTTTAGTCAATAGCACTTATAAGAATCTCTTACTACATTGAGGATTTTCCCCCACCCACATGAACATATTGAAAAAGCCAAATAATATTATATAACATTGCCAAATAATATTTTTATTGGTTTGATAAAATTAATACCGACAGTTCTGATTAAAAATCAGATTTTTAGGAAGTTTTTGATATTAGTCTTTGCCTAAGTATAGATTTGTCTTTATAAATCAATTAGAGAATAATTTATTGTTAGACATGCACAACACGTTTTAAGCAGTTAAAGTTACGTTATAATTAAATAAAAAAATTTAAGAAAATAAAGAACATAACAGAAAATTTTATTTGCATTTTAGACAGTAGAATTTCTGCCCAAATTCCATTTCCTGTTCATTGAAATTTGTCTTTAATTTTTAATTTTCTCATTTCAAAGAATAAACTTTCTTTACTGACAAAATGACTTTCAGGACACTGCATTTTTTGTTTTCAGAGTCAAAAAAAAAATGTAAAATCTACACAAAGAAATTCTTGATTTTGGAAGAAAATAAGTTTTTTTTTTTTTTATGAATACAATTTTAATAAATATCTAATATGAATACAAATCAAGATTGTTGCTGATCAAAATACCAGAATATATGCAAAGATATTCCAGAATTTTATTGGAATGCATGCATAAATATTTTCAAAATTGATTTTTTTTTCTGCACTGTCCTCACCTTAGTTTTTTTAAGGTGAACTGCAAATCGTTGCAGCTTTTATAAAATTAAAACAGAAACTAAAATTTGAAATGTTTTAAATTGTTAAGTAGCAAAAAATCTTTATCATCTGATTTTTGAAAGTTGATTTTTTAGATATTTTTTTTTTTTTTATTTTGTTCTAATTTTAGTTATTTAAATAAAAAAAAAAAAAAAAAAAAATGAAATTCTACAATTAAATCTCCATTCAAACAAAGCTAGGTATAAATCTTTTAAAAATATGCAACAATCACCAAACACAAATCAGCATTGTTTTTGTTTGGAACCTTTGATTTTTATAAACACATTTTGGCAACAAATTTTCACTGGTAGTCAAGGTTTAAGAAAATAAAATGTAATCAGAATGACATAAGTGGAGCTGGAATTAGGGCAAAAAATGTAAGTATCCCAATGTGACCAGTGGTAAAGAATGCATGGTCAGTATCTTGGTCATTTATTTAGTAGAAATGCATTTGATTTCAACAGGGCAATTTTTTTTTTTAAAGACAAGAAGCTTTGGCAATTTAAATTATTTGACTGAATTAAAGTTACTTTATAAAAAAAAAAGAAAAAAAGTTCTAAATTTTTTTCAAAGGAACTAATTTATTTGCCATATAGAGATTTTTGTTTCTGTTGAAATTAAAAAAAAAAAAAAGTAAAAATATAAGAATTAAATAAGTGAATAAATCTATACCAAATTCTTGATGTGCTTTCAATGTTTGCCTCCCTTTTTCTTATATGACTTGAAAGGACCCCACAACCATCTGTTTCATTATCCCTCCCTGGGGAAGTCAGTTTAGAAACAGAGAAATTATTAAATGTGTTAAACAAAAACAAAACAACAAAAAAAAAAAAAAAAAAAATAAAAAATTATATATATATATATATATATATATATATATATATATATATATATAAACAGAACATGAAGATGAAAAAGCCAAAAACGAAATCAAAAAAATAGGGGTGACATGTTTTTCAAATGAGCAATTTGAGAAAAGATTATTTCACATGTCATGATTACTATTGGGATTTTGTTCATTTCCTAAAAAAGTTTGGAGGATCTCTTGGTCCTTTTGGTTGGCCAACTTTCTGTGGGAAACCTGCAAAAATAAAAAAGACAAATCAATGTTTAGCCAGTAAAAATTACACTCTAATCTACATTAAAAGAAACATTTAACTTGTGAAAGGAATAAAGTTAAAAAAGCCAGAGAGAGAGAAGGGAGAGAGAAGGAGAGAGAGGGAGGAGAGGAGGAGGAGGAGAGGGGAGAGAGAGAAGGAGAGAGAGAAGGAGAGGGAGGGAGGAGAGAGAGGGAGGAGGGAGGGAGGGAGGGAGAGAGAGAGAGAGGGGAGAGAGAGAGGGAGGGAGGGAGAGAGAGAGAGGGGGGAGGGGAGAGAGAGAGGGGGGGGAGAGAGAGAGAGGGGGGGAGGGAGAGAGAGAGGGGGAGGGAGAGAGAGAGGGGGGAGGGAGAGAGAGAGGGGAGGGAGAGAGAGGGGGGGGAGGGAGAGAGGGAGAGAGAGGGGGGGGGAGAGAGAGGGAGGGGAGGAGAGAGAGAGAGAGGGAGAGAGAGAGAGAGGGGAGAGAGAGAGAGAGAGGAGAGAGAGAGAGAGAAGGAGAGAGAGAGAGAGGAGAGAGAGAGAGAAGGAGAGAGAGAGAGAGAGAGAAGGAGAGAGAGAGAGAGAGAGAAGGAGAGAGGATAGATGGCTATTCACTAAGAAGGTGATCTACCCTTTACCAGCTCGTTTTTTTTTTGTACTGCTCGTGTTTCACTTAACCTCCTCACTACAACTTAGACCAGCTCTGACCGGCTTGGACCAGCGGCCTGAGTGAAAACACTTAGGTCCCCATGTTAAAAAACGACCTTGTGTCACAACCTGACTTAGTTTTTTTTGGGGGGGTCAAGTAAATCTCCTTACCCTTCTCACTGGCCGACCACTTGGGTTTTGAATTCAGAGTTGTCCTCCTCCTAGACTGATTGCCACCCAAGGCTATAGGACCCAGTCTGTCCTGCTATTTACCCATAGCTGGGGGGAGAAGAGATGGATTCATATTTTTTCCAAGGGTATTTGCATGTAAGTGAATGTAATGAACTTAACTGAAACTTGAACTGGGCTCTTCGATTCCACTATAAAAGCTGCTATCTATTCTGTGGAATGTATTTTGTATTGGCAACTTTACAGAAAATATTCACTAGAAATATTTTACATTTTTTTAATTGTTCTTTTCTTACCAGTTTTTTGTTATTGTTATTTTTTATTACAATAATGTGGGCCACTGAATTTTTGATCACTTGCACAAACAGCTCAAAATTAGAAACAAGGAACTTCTAATTTGAACTTACATGCCACAAATTTAAAATTAAAGGTCAGTTTCAGTTGACATCTGAATAGGATGTGAGGTCAAACCTTGATCAAAGTTTTTATTTTAAAGTCCTCATAACATTAATGAGTAAAATAATTAAAAATTATTGGGGGAAAAAATATCAGTGTGATTACAAAAAATATACCCAGGAAGGTGTTGGAAAATTCCAATAAGTTAAAATTTAAAAAAAATAAAAATTAATTCTTAAATTTAAATTATTTTATACTGAATATTTCCTTTTCAAATATTAATAAAAAAAGAATATAAATTTAAGGCATTAATTACTGAAGGAGAAACAGTATGAGCATCATTATATACCTGATTGATTGATTTTGTATGGCTTATCAACCATTTGTAGGTTATTTAAAGACAGAAAATATTTTTAGAGTAAGAATTTTTTTTTTTAATTTTTTTTAGAGAGATAATAATTTAGTGATAAATGTCTTACTAATTAATTGCTAGAGGTGAAGAGGTAGATTGTAAGAATTTTTTTTTGAGATAATGATTTAGTCATACAAGTATTACTAGTTAATCCATAGCTGGGGGTAGATTTATAACTTTCCCAAGGGTATTTGCATGTAAGTGAATATAATGAACCCAACTGAAATTGGAATTTGGCTCAGACAATGGAAATTTGGTGTGTATCACCATTGTGTGCCTCTGTGGGGTCTGCACAGAGGCACCTGTTGTTCCTCCTGTTCACTTGATCACTTTCAATAAGGTGGTTATCTCCAACTTGTTGGTGGCTAATGCTATGCCTTTTTATATTCTGTATCAGATTGAAAGCTGCTATATTAATACCATACTCTCAATACATCTGAAAGAGAAACAAGAATACTAAAAGTTGAACAATGCTATAACCCATATCTGGGGGGAGAAGAGGTGGATTCATACCTTTGCACTTAAATGAATATAATGAATCCAATTGGAATTTGTCTCTCCAACTAACAATTCCAAGCCATTATCCATTACACTGCCCACACATCCAACCTTACAGCACCTGGTATTCTTGAGTGGTCACCCATCTATTAATGACCAGGCTCAATGTTGCTTAACCTTGGTAAACATATGGGGACTAGTGTTTCAAGGCTATATGGCCTTAAGCCCATTATCTACTTGAGGGCTTCAATGTAGAAATCAGGAGATATACTGCTTCTATGTTTCTGGTCACATTTTTTATTGGTTGAAGGATTTCCCAATGAAATGGGATTAATCAATAATTTGATGCATGTTAAGTTTAAACAAAAAACAATCAAGATAAAATTATTACATCTTCAGTTCTACATGATATGAAATATGCAAAAAAAAATTTCATTTTATGTCTATCTTGGAGTTTTTGGATGGCTGTGGGCATCATGAATGCGATCAAAACAATGAAAAAGAAGATTAGAATCAATTCTTACCAATTTCTGTAATCTTTTGGTGCTTTCCACTGTGCTTATCTGGTAAAGAAATAAAAATGGAAATAGTTTTTACTCTTTTAAAAAGCAACAATATTTAAATATTTTCATTTGATAAAATCATTGGAACACTTTCCTTGTAACAAAACCTTCCAAAATAGTAAAGAGACCATTTCAGTATTATCAGATTTCTTTTCCACCAGAATGACAAAAATTCTTTCAATAAGGAATGAAAAATAATTTCACATTGGGTTGGTTGGTTGTTTTGGGTTATTTAATGCTGAAATCTAAACATTTTTGTATGCAATTTTATTTTATTTTTTGGAGATAATAATGGTTTAGTGATGCAAGTCTTATTAATTAACCCATAGTTTGGGGGAGAAGTGATGAATTCATACCTTTCTTAAGGGTATTTGCTCTTAATTGGATATAACAAACCCAACAGGAATTGGAACCTGGCTCTCTGATTAACAATTCCAAGCTATTATCTATTACACTAGCTGCAAATTCAAGCTTAAAGAATTATAGGGTATTTCCAAGTGATCACCCATCTAGGTACTGACCATGCTTGATGTTGCTTAACTTTGGTGATCATACACGAACTGTAAGCCATTTCACATTGGTGTTTTATAATAGCCAATAATGTTTTATTCATTTTATTCAGTTAGTGCATTTTGTGCCATTGTGGTTACCACTCCCCCCACCTCCATCTTACAATTTTGGTTCATGGTGACATTCAAGGCAGAATAGTGTAATGGCTTGCCGGTTCCTTTTGTATCGGAGATCTTGAGGTTATCTTGTTTCTTGTCTCAGAGGTGGAATTGTTTTTGAAATTACCTTCTAGCATTTGCCTAAAGATGCAGGACCTACAAGGCAGCAGGTGTTTTGAATTCAGAGTTTCCTTCTCCTAGGCTGGTTGACACCCAAAGCTACAGGAGCTAGTCTGTCCTGCTACTTTACCCAAAGTTGGAGGGAGAAGAGATAGATTCATACCATTCGCAAGGGTATTAGCACATAAGTGAATATAATGGACTTGATTGGAATTCAAACTTGGCTCTCTGATTCTTCAATCAGAGTTGGTAACCATTACTTCACCGTGCCTCCTCAATAATGACTATTGATTAACTAAACTTGTTACAGTTGACTGGAGTTTTATTACTTTTACAATTACAACATTATTCTCCAAACAATCTTATGAAATAGGGTGCTGAAAAGTCATGGATTGACCTAGAAGCCCTTCAAAATATATGTTTTGTCAGATTTTGAGAGGTAGATTAGGTCAAGAAAATAAATTTTCACCACACTGTGCATGTGTGTATTCTCATGTACATATGTGAAAACACAAAAGAGGTGTCTGAAAGTAAGGTACATACAAATCAACTCGAATTAAAACATAAAAGCTATAAACACAAAATAATGTATGTTTACTTCTGTTAAATGCCAGAAAAGCTTAAAGGATAAACTCATCTTGTCTGCCAATGGGCTCTGGCTATAAAAGAAACGGACATAAACCCTCTCTCTTTTTTTGTCCTATTACCCATAGGATGCGGTAGGTACAAGATGTTGTCCAGTCTTCTCCTCAAGAGAGGCAGCAGCTGGACAAACCAACTACTTAATTTCAACCCAACCACTTTTACTGAGCTATCTGTATACATGCAAATATAATTTTCTCTTTCTCTTCCTTTCCATAGTTGGGGGAAGGAGATGGATTCATATCTTTTCCAAGGGTATTTGTCTGTAACAAACCCGACTGATATTTAAACTCAGCACTTCAATTTCTCATTCTAAGCCATTATCCATTACACTACCTGCACCTCTGGTTGGTAGAGAAATTGAAAGAATTTAGATTAATTGTGTCGGCACTTGTATTTGATATACAGTTAAACAGGATCAGAGTATCACATCTGCACAATTCATGGCCCTTCTGAGCTGGAATCAGTTAAGGTTTCTGATTGAAAAACTTACATGTGAAGCAGGTAGAAATTTGGAAATTAAGGAAGAAAGGGGGTTGGAATGCATGTGAAGGAGGAAAAGCTACAGGGTAAGAATAAAAAGAAAACCAGGTAAAAAGACTACAAGCAGGCGCTGAGTGGCGACAGTCTGTTTCATGCAATCTTTGCATTGCCTGAAGATTGCACTCAAGCATGACACAGATTGTTGCCACTCAGTGTTGACTGCAATGTACACTTTTATATTTACATAGGCTCTATCGCTGATACTGAGTACCCTTCACCATAAATATAGTATCCTTTTAAAACTAATAAGAAAGAAGGACAAAGAATAGGGAGAGATTGTGAGGAGACAAGAAAAGGAGGATGAAAAGGAGAAATAACTACAACAATCTATGTGCACATACACAATGGAGGAAAAAAAAAAAAAAAAAAAATTAACCTAGCACCAATAAAAAAAGCACATAAATTATTTCATAATATAAGAATAACGAAAATGAGAAAATCAGCAGTCAATTGCTGATACCACCTGACAAGTAAACAAAGATTACAAAAGTCTGTAGTTGGAATGCTGAATATAACATCAATTAACTAAGTGAGAAATTTCATATTTGTATTTAAACACACATTATATATATATATATATATATATATATATATATATATATATATATATATATATACACACATACACACACACACACACATATATTTTGAACTTGAAAACCAAAGTATAGATCCTTGCTTACATATTAAAAAATTCATCTGAAGCACATATAAGGATAAATAAAAAAAAAATAAGTACATTTCAATTACCACTCCCTGTTTACACATTTATAATAACCTTGCTTTTCTTCTCCTTCACATCCTCCTCCTATCCTTTCTATCACACCCAACATTGTGCGTTCATTTATTTTTAAAAATAATATACCGTTCATTAGTTTTTTTTTAAAAAGATAGTGGATTCAAACTGATCTCCTGATTTTTAAAGTATATATATGTGTATAGTTGGACACTTGTATTTGAGGATACCCATCTACTAGGATGGTTAGCCAATCCCTATTGCAGACGCTTGCTCAGGCACATTTGTGTTTATTTAATACCCACAGAGCCCACCTGTGGTGTGTGTATATATATATATATTAGATAAATAATAGAATAAATAAATAAAGAAAAAATAAATAATTAAGGAAATAATAAACAAATGAAAATACCATACAAATACACATGTAACCACAACTAAATAAATTTAATAACAAGACCTGTAACAAGTTTATGGGATTTTACAATACACACAGAGAAAAAGCCAAATCGCCCAGATATTGTGATCAGAGACCACAAGAACAGAATGTGCTTTCTTATTGACATTACAGTGCCTGCAGATTTTAATGCATCTTGGAAGATCAAAAAATTATTGAAATGCAAGGATCTTGAAATGGAAATTTAAAAAATGTGGCACAGGTGCACATCAATAATTCCAGTTGTAGTTGGAGCCCTCGGATTGGGTCCAATAGACTCATTCAAAGGATTCCTGGTAGCCCATGCCTTAAAGAAATACAAAAAAATTGTACTCACAAGTACAGTTCACACATTACAAGGGTTTTATCTATATAAAATGTGTGTGATCTTGGGTCTTTATTTTTAATTTAAATTTTTTTTTTTTTTTTACAAAAATGATCAATGGAAAATGCTATGAAGCCATTTCTGACCTTAGGTTCCTGGTTGGGACCTAGAAGGAAATGTGTATACAACAAAAATAATAACAACCAGGAGTGAATAATTAATGCCCTAAAGTTATTTAAAAATTAACAAGCCTATACAATAACTATAAATTAAATGTTTTCTAGCCCATAATTAGTCCTTTTCAATAGCCTCCAGAATAATTTAAAATAGCTGTTTCTGGCTATTCAATAGGATGTTAGAATAATACAAACCAGAAATAACTGATCTTGCTAGCCATAATACAACAATGACTAACATGTATTGAGCCATAATCCAATCCACATGAAGATTGCAGCCAAGCATAAAACAGACATTATAGGCCATGGGCATGCACATCAAGGTGGCCGAGGGTGGTGGTGGTGGTGGTGGTGGTGGTGGTGGGTTTGAGATGTCGCCAACAATCATGCATGCCAGGGATGGGATTTACGAGGGCTGAAGTACGGAGAGGAGAAACGAAGGTTTGCCACCATAGAGAAGCGTACTTGATGAAAAGAAAACAATAAGGCGACATCAGGAGAGCTCCTTTACATGCATTCATGGCAATTGAGACTATGATTCCCTGTACATCCATAACAGATGCTACACCGCTATCAGCTGCTGAGGCATAACTCTTTAGATTCAGATCCAAGGTTTCTAGAGATCAATGGATGCCACACACCATATAGTCCAATCCACATGAAGATTGCATACAAGCATAAAACAGACTGTCGCCACTCTATATTGACATCAGTGTCCATATATAGCTTATTGCTTATTTAAAAAAAAAGTATACAGATGCTTATAGGATGGACACTGGTTCATAGTTCAAAATTAAAACTAGAGTTGCACACCAAACGTAGGTATATGTGTATTTACTAATATATATTTCTTAGCTCTGTCTAATCACATTGAGCACTATTATGTCTACACCTCTTGGCTAAATTTGGTAATTATTTATTTGCCTACTAGCATATGCAGGCAAGCACATGTGTATATGGTTGCTAATATCTAGTTATTTCATTTACACACACACATATATATATATATATATATATATATATATATATATTCCAGTCTACTTAGATCCTATTACTTTAACCCTTTCATACTCTGGCATTAAACTAAATTTTTTTTTGTTTTTGGGGGGAAAAAATTAAAAGCAATACTTACCACTACTAGATGAATTTTTTATATGAAACTGCAATAAAAAAAACAAACCTGAATGAATCATAGTCTTCAATTTAGAATAATGTAATGTCTTAACACAGGATCATTTGAGTCTAGATTTAAGAAACTGAATTTAAGCTGCCAAAACACATAATAGGGCAAACTTATCAAGTGCTTAGAGATTTTATTCATTTTAAGAGCAATTAATAAAACTAATTAAACAATTTGTTTATGATTTATTAGCAAAAGAACGTTATCTATCACATTGATATTTATGCAAAATCCCAAGTTTCTAATTGAATTAGGAATTTTTTTGTAAGGACAAAAATACTAAAAATGTCTCTTTTGTAATGTACTCAAATATTTTCAAAATCTTGACCAAAAGTATGAAATTATTGAATTTTAAGTTGTTGCTAATATTCAATGTTTGGGACTATCCTTATCTTCATTGAGATCTTGAGAGGTGTTTTTAATATTAAATATTTTAGAATATCAGAAACTTTGAGATTTGTTGTTAAATATTTAGAAATTTAAAAGAAAAAAATTGGTTAATAGTAACTTTTAATATCCATTTTATTTATATAATAAAATTGTATACAACTGAATATTTTATAAAATTCACAAAACTTAATACACAGATTTTGAATCGGTCGAGAATTTTTTTTTTTTACCGAGTTAATTATTTTTTTTCTGAATTTTGAGATAACATTTTTATTATTCTTTTTTTTTTTTCAGATTATTGTTTTTATCCTTGTTGCTTTGGGCAATCTTTCTCCAGCTTTCCCCAGCTGTATGTTGTCTTTAGTAGTTTTTACAGATCACTTAATAATCTTTTTCTTTTTTAAGAAGCAGTTTTAAATTATTTTATAAAGAAAATTCTGATCAGCTGTCTTGATTTTATTATATTATAAAATAGAAGGAAAAATTTTAATTGCTGATTTTGATATTTTTTGTTTATATATAAATTTCCTTGACAGCCAGAAAATCCTAAAATCTGGCTTTAAATGCCAGGTTACCCAAAGTTCAAAGTATATTGTTTAAAACAAACATTTAGAAAAATACTAGAATGTTTCTTACATCCTGGAGAGAATATGCAATTAAATATGCATAGATATGTTTTTTTTTCATCTCCTTGACTGTACTAAAAAGTTCCATTGTTTTATGAAAACAGGACAGGTAGATATAATTAACAGCAATTACTGACAGGTGAAAAAACAATTTTAAATTAACTTCATGTTTGTCTTACAAAAAAAAAAAAAAAAATTTGTATGTTATTAGATTCAAATGTCCACCATAAAATCCAGTATAAATATTTATATAAGAAAATGGGATGATGGGCATTAACCCATATTCTTTTGGAATCAGTTTAAATTGAGGCCTTTTTTCTTTTCCCTCTTATACCTAAATTATAGATTATAATTTTGGAAGGTGACTATTTTGCTGAAATATTAGGTTGGCCAGAAAGTCTTGACTTAGGAAATGGAAAGAAAACAAATCTTGATCTCTGTCTGGTAGAATTTCCAAAGAGTACTGCATTTTGAGCTTGTTCCACACAGTCGCGCCATCAACATTAAACTGTATTGCTAGCAGATAGATAGCATGTACGACAAACTAAAGAAGGAGTATCCTGTTTTGGTCAGTCGAGATCGGGCTTTGTTTCAGCAAGACAATGTGAGGCCACACACTACTGGGTTGACTAAGGAGAATTTCAAACAGATCGATGGTTTTGAGATTCTTCCACATCCATCATTCAGTCCTGATCCGAGTGACTATGGTCTATTCCGCTCAATGGCAAACTTCCTCCATGACCAGTGATTAAACACTTTTCATGAAGTGAAGAAAGCTTGTTTACAGTTTTCTGATTTAAAGCCAGCAAATTGGTATCTGGGATAGATCCAGATGCTGTCTAATCACTGTCAGAAGATCGTCGAGAATGATGGACTTTATTTTGAAAAAATAAATGTTGATGTTGCTCCATAAAATTTTGTTGTTTTCTTTCCGTTTCCTAAGTGAATCAGGACTTTCTGCCCAACCTAATATATTGGAAAATATAAACTTTAAGCTAAATCATCCCAATATATATATATATAAAAAAAAAAGCCATTTTAAAATGACACCAGGATGATAGCACTTAATAGGTTAAATTTATAATATTCAAAACTGACAAAGATTTCTGCATATATTTCTAAGATGAGGTGTTGTAACTATTTACATTATTTACATTGTTCGGACTCATCTTTGCTGTTGCATTCACAACATTTCGGCTGTTGTATGCTCCGGTCTTCTTCAGGTGATATACATTGGAATTTCGAACATAATTTCCCCAAAAATGTTGAAGCAATCCAGTGACTTGTGATCAGAGGCCTCGCTGTAGGATGTAGTTTATGGTTTTACCCAGGATGCAGATGTAGTTTAGGGTCTTACCCAGGACGCAGATGTAGTTTAGGGTCTTACCCAGGACGCAGATGTAGTTTAGGGTCTTACCCAGGACGCAGATGTAGTTTAGGGTCTTACCCAGGACGCAGATGTAGTTTAGGGTCTTACCCAGGACGCAGATGTAGTTTAGGGTCTTACCCAGAATGCAGATGTAGTTTAATGTCATACCCAGGATGGTGAAGAAGTCATGTGCAGCCAAAACATCATGAATATTATAATAAAGATGAGGGCAATAGTCTGAACAATGTAAACAGTAACAAAAATTTACAAAAACTCAAATATTTTTTTTTTAAGCTCAAAAATACACACTCACCATGCCTAACATTTTTCCAAATTTTCCTGTATGTTTTTCTTCTTTACTTTTTTCTTCAGCTGGAGAAAAAGAAAGTTTGTTTAGAAGCTGATCTCCCTAATAAAACATTAATAAAAATCAAATAAAAACCATGTCATGTGAAAGGAAAAAAACCCTTCGACAATAAAAAAATTATTTAAAATTTTTATTTTACCAGCACTTTTATAGTGGTTGAAAATAAAAAAAAATGATTTTGATTGACTAAAGTTATTCATATCTGTTTAATTCTAACAGATCCAAATTCACAGTAGTCAGTCAAGGTTATCCTTGTCACACCCAGTGCATCCTATGGATCCACAAAAAAAAAAAGAAAAAAAAAAAAAAAAAACACCAAACAAACTGAATTATATCATCCAGATTTTGAAGATACATAGAAAAATATTTACATACTTTGGGGAAAAGTTATTAATTTTTTTATATGAAGACAATTACTGCTGCCATATCTGGGCTGGAACGGCTTAATCTTCACTTTAGATCAGTGATTCCAGAGCCTAATGGCCCATTTAAATTTACTGGGGGTTCACACAAAAAAATAGCAAATTGGTAATATTTTAGTGGTCCATAGAGTAATTTCACTTCGGAACAGTTGTTACAACTGAAAATTGGAATTTCTACAGTAATCAATGCCATATTAAAATACTAAAAATAGAAAAACACCTCTAAAACTAGCAGAAAACAAGATCAAGCAATGTAAGTTTTAGCATCCCTTTTACTCTACTGGATGTTTTGATTGTAAAAGTTGAATATAAATTAAAAAGGATATATGAAGAAAGGATTATAAAAATAAAAAGGAAAATTATATAAAAATTATAACTTATTATATAAATTAATTTAATATATTAATTATTAATAAAATAAAATATTAATATAAATTAATTAATATAGTAATAAACTCGACATTATGAAAAGGGGTAATCTTTTTCTTTTTTAAGAAGCAGTTTTAAATTATTTTGTAAAGAAAATATTACACATCTTGATGTGGTGACTGGAAATACGAATAGGCGACACAGGGAACACGCGACAGACAAGTCCATCTCCCACCAACACCAAATCAAAACTCTTACCCACTTTTACTTACCCTTTCCCCTTTGGTCAAAGTGGATGCTGCTTAGAAGGTAGAGGGTTACTGTTAAAATGGTTATGACCAATGAGGTGTGTGGGTCTACCCATACACCTGGGGAAAGCTGGAGAAATATCACCCCTTTTCATAATGTCGAGTTTATAACTATATTATCATTGACATTGACTGGGCCAAATATTAAAAAAAAAAAAACTCACAGAGCAACATCAATTACAGAGATCTCATTGAATAAATCTGCACTTTTTTAATTTATTAATTATTCACATATTTTAAAATGGTTCATTATAAGTTATTTTACTTGTGTATATACACATATAAGTGTTTAAGCAATCCAGTGACTTGTGAGTTCAATACCTGGCCACAGCAGAGGTTAACAAAAACTTGGTGAGTTGAGTTACTAAGATGAAATAACTGAAACTGAGATATTCAGAAAAGGCATGGCATGTGGAACTAGAACAATCTACCCTGGTGGATGAAATAAATGGTTTGGTTTGAAATTCCAACATATATTACCTGAAGGTGGCAGTTTAGTTTGATTTGTTTTATGGCATATCAACCTCAATGGGTTATTTAAGGCTGATAAGATTTTTATTGCTGGTAATATGTTTTTCAAAAAATGTATTGTTGCTAATATATTCTTTTCCCAAAAATTGATTGCTGGTAATAATCTTTTACAAAGATGTATTGCTGGTATTAAAAAATTTTTTTACACTTTCCTAGTGTTTTGACCCCAGTTTGGGGGTTAACTATTTGCCCATAGCTGGGACCCTAACAGGTACCACCACCCTGTTCAGGGTAGACCTAGATCTATAATACAATTCCTAACCTTGTCTATTAGTAAAAAATATAAGTTTTTTTCTTCTTCAAATGGTTATGACAGTCAACCAAAAAAAAAAAAAAAATTAAGCGTAAAAGTGACCTGTCATTAAAAAAAGGTTGAGAAACACTGCTTTAGATAGTTACAAATCACTTATATAAAGCAATGATAACTAACTTGATTTCTAACTTAATTTTTGTATTCATCCACCTCAAGGTATAGATATTAATTGAACAGGTCTTATGTGTATTGAATAAGGTTAGTCTGGCACAAGGTCAGAATAGGAGGATGGAACAAGTAAAAACAACTAGAAGCAGTAGAAATGTGGTTCATGGTGGGGAGATTTATTTTCCATTTTGCAGCCTCTTTCCTCACAGATGCCAGGTTGCAGGCTTATTGCTATTTACATACTAAATGTTCAAATGAGCTTCATTCTTTACTTCCACCAGTTCAGACCTTTACAGCTGGGATAGGCCATGCTACTTTCATGAAGTTGAATCACCCTCATTTCACCCATATTCCAAATGCAAGGGGAAAGTTACTCAGACAACTTCTCCCCCTCCAACAACTTTCACTTTGTAGAACAGACTCCCATGTGATTACAATCCCAAACACTGTAATCTTAACTGTTATCTATCCCCTTATCCTCACATCCTACGACCTCTTCTTTCATTCATATCACACACCTCATAACCATTTTAGCAATAACCCTTTACCTTTTAAGCAGCATCCACTTTGACCAAAGGGGAAAGGGTAAGTAAAAGAGTGGGTGAGAGTTTTGGTTTGGTGTTGGTGGGAGGTGGACTTGTCTGTTGCATGTTCCCTGTGTCACCTATTTGTATTTCCAGTCACCACATCAAGATGTGTAGATGTGTGACAAGTTTGTAAGGGATAAGAGCAGAAGTTGTCCCAAGTATCACCTACCTACCCATCCAGATGAACAGATGAAGCCCTGAATTAAGCATCTATTCTATAATAGAAGAAACAGGGTTTGTGTTCTTATTCAATGACATGGGGTTTATCTTTCATCTTGTGAGCATCCATTATGTTCTTTCTCAGCTTTCAGTGCATACCAACAGGATTGAGAATTAAAAGTCTTGTATTGAGTGAAGTTTAGTTTAAAAAAAAAAAAAAATACAAACATGCACCCAGATATGGATGTTACTGTATAAAGGATATCCTAAGTCAAATATCTTCAAGTAGACATGTATTTGTGGGATAATCAGCCAGAGTCATGCATTTCTCTAGGAAAACAGTTTGTCGTTCATGACTATTAATTCTATATGCTGTGTCCCTTCAGAGATCATGGCTCTCTACAAGTTCCTATCTCGTGTGGCTGTTATTATTTTTCTCCTTTTGTTAAGGTACCACCCCTGTTCTGTAATCCATTCACACAAGTTCACTGTCTTCGTGTCTCTTGCCTCCAATATGCCACATGAGGGTTAAATTTTCCTTGCCCTCCTTCCTCATTATGCATCCAAGGAATTTCAGCTTTCTTTTCCTGATTCTGAATAAAATCATTCTTTCTGTTGCCATTTTCTTTAAGACTTCCTTGTTCCTTACTCACTCATGGAATTTTCAGTATCCTTATTTACAACTACATTTCTGTAGTTCTCTAGTTATTTTTTGTTCTTTCCACCTATTCTGGCCTTGTGCCAGACTAACCTTAGTCAATGCACATAAGACCTGTTCAAAATTTATAACTTGAGGTGTATGAATACAAAAATCAAGTTAGGTACCATTGCTTCATATATTCTTTCCCAAAAGCAGTAAAAATTCATTTCTTCTTAATTGGTAAGGGTCAAAGAAATATTTTTCTTCTTTCCAATAAAAACATTTAAGACTGTATAATACATATAATTCTTACAGAATCATTATACAGTATTAGAAATTAATGAATATTTTAAGAAAAAAAAATCCAAAAACTCAAGCTTTATGTGAATTTGCATTCATTAAAAAAGAAAGCATTCAGATCAAAATAAAGGGAATCCTAACAAAAATTGAAACCAAATTGGCAGTAATACATTTGTTATGCATCATGGTATTACATAATATTAATTTATAGTCTATGAAAGAGCAAACTAAATTTGAAAATTTTTGGAAAAATTAATTAGCTTACGTTCGTCTTTATATTTTCGGGGTGGCAGATGGGGTATCTCTTGTTCCTGAATAAGAAAAATAGTTCTTTTATTCAATAAATTCAGTGATGATAATATAAAATCTATTCTTAGTATATGAGCAATGAAGAAGTTTTAATAGGAACTACAAAATGAATTATACTTACAATCAGAAAGAGACAAATTTCTGGGGTATCTAATGAAGAAAATGTGCCCAGAGAATTTACCCCCCCAGGGCATAAATAAAGGCAAGAGAAGCAGGAGGGAAACATTGAGTAGTTTACATGGTTTGAATGGATGACAGAACAATGACAAAAGGAGGATAATAAAGGGTCAAGAGATATTTAGTGCAAAGTAAAAAGACAGGAAGTTGTGGAGAGCCATAATTGCGCTTTTCAAGAAGGGATATGGCATATAAAAGAATAGGAGATATTTACATACAAGAAAATTAGAAATGATTAAACTTTATTTAAAAAAAGAAAGTTTATATTCACAATTATTTATGGTTCTCTCAATCCATTCTCCAGGTAGCCTGAATTTCTTTTAATCTAACATTTCATCAAAATGGCTTCTTTACCTTTACAAACTGTTGTATTTCACAATCAGCTCACAAGCAAACATTTGATATTTTTGGAACATACTATATTTAGTCAGAAAGTAGACAGTTTCAGGATTTCAAAATTGGTCCAACTTTTTCTTAACTCTCCAAGTATTTGTTAAGTTAGAATTGTTTGAAGTTAATCAAGTCTAAATGAGTTAAATGCAAAATTCAAGCACAGGGAATTTGGGTTTGTTTTTTCTTGTTTAATGGAACATCAACCTTTGTACACTGAAATCTGAAGGCATATTGGTATAGCCAAGGAAGTATTTCAAAAGTTTAGCAGAGTACCAAGAAATAGAAAAATTTCACTAGCAACAAGGAAAACAGTATTAAACTATTATGTAATATCTGTCCTTCTGTATGGCAGTGAGTGCTGAACAATCCTCAGAGAGGATGAAGAGACTTGAAGCAATTGAAATGTGCTTCTACAGAAGGATGCTGAGTATACCATGAACTGAATATGTAAGCAACAACAAAGTTTTAAAGAAAACAGAAGCAAAAATGAAACTTATACTTAACATCAGGAAGAAGCATTTGAGTTTTCTGAGGGCTTGGAGAATCTGATGACTAACAGGACAGATTGAAGGCAAGACAGACAGAGGAAGACAACGCTTACCATACTTAGTGAGTTTGAGTAAATGGATGGTATAACAAGGTGTAGGAGAAATCACAGAAAGACAAAATTTATCAAGAGCAACAAAAAACTGGAAGTTGTGGAGAGCCATTATCTCCTATGTCCTGAAGGCACATAAAGAGATGATTGTTAAGAAAGCTTGTAGTTAAATATAATTTAAAAGAGGGGAGTTTTTGGTTAAAGAGATCCTAAGAATATTTTGAGTCATAGAATGTGAGGGATGACATATTTGTGTAAAGCTTCTTAATGTTTTGGAGTTTTGTCTGCTGACCAAGGTTTTTAAAATTAAACCCCTATTTTTTAATTAGAGATGTGAAAGTTTTATTTTAACCTTCTTACAAATAAGAACATGAATACAGTTCCAGAGTGGAGTAGAAAATCATTCAAGGGGATCAAAATCACCCAAATGTCTAGCCCTATTGTGGAGCCCACTGTGCATTTCTATCAATTTATACATCAGGTTGAAGCCCTGTAAGTCCAGCTTCCAGTAGTCTGATTGGCTTTTAATGTGACCAACACTTGATCAAAATTGTTTTGTCTTTAGGTTTTATTCCTGTCAACCTACAACACTCAATGACATGTAGTGTATAATAAGTAGGTCAGAAGTATTTTGTTATGTCTGGACATAATCTATCCGTGTGATTGTCATAACATAGAATGTCCTATAGTCTAACCAAATGGCTTATCTGACCAGAATGTAAGACTGACATGTTTATATATATATATATATATATATATTTTAAAGAAAAACAGACCACTTTAAGGTTCCATTATAATGATTTATTTCACCAGAGCCCTTTTAAAGGACGCCGGCTCATCAGATAGCACTATATATATATATATATATATACACACACTATATAATAGCTGGCTACTTGTACTTGAGGATACCCGTCTACTAGAGTGGCTAGCCAATCCCTATTGCAGATGCTCGCTCAGGCACATTTGTGTTTCTTCAACACCCACAGAGCCCACCTGTGGTTTATACTGCAACTATGCTGGGCAGATCTTAGCTACAGTTTTTGAGAAAGAGCGTGTTATCTACCATGATCAACAATTTGAACAAGGCCAGCACACTCAAACCCTTGGTCATGATGACTTGTGACTTCGTGCTAACACAGCTATAAATGATCAATGGAACTAATAAAAATAAATATAAATAAGTATAATAAGTGACCTAAGCAAATCCCACCCCCAATTTTTTTACCACATTAATAAAACATAGAAATCTGAAAAGAATAAATAAATATATAAAATAAAAAATGGAAATAAAATACAAGTAAAATTAACCCAAATAAATAAACAAACAAACAAGCCACTCCTGCCAAAATATCTGCCAGAGTGGATTACCCACAATGCACCACTGACCCATAGTCAAGGAAAAATTGATTGCAACTGTCAGGAAACAGACTGTCGCCTCTGAGTGTTGACTTCAATGTTCACTTTTTATTATATATATATATATATATCTACACACACACACAAGCAGTATTTTCTATCGGCATAGATACACACATGTACACATACGCATATATACATATATGGATGGATATATATATATATATATATATAAATAAAAGAAAGAGGTTGTAGTGGTTCCAATGACAGAAAAGTATGTATATTAAGAGAAGAGAGGTGCCGCAAACGTTTTTGGTTGTAATGTGATTTTATATATATATATATATATATATATATACACACACACACACACACACACCCATATATATATATATATATGACAAATTATTTATTTTTACAATGTTTAGAATAACAATTCTTACAGTGTAAAGAACAGTTAACAAGTAGCCTATATTGTAACAATGCTGTGATATTAAACTTACCTGTGCACATTCTCAAATTAACAAGTTAGGTGTGTAGACAACAGGTTTTCTACAGTAAATATTTTCTGTTTTTATTCAATTGTTATTGTTTTTACATTGTGTCAATGATAAAAGATATTGGAGGTAGGTATAAAATTTTAAGAAAATTTATTAAACTCTTTAAGATTTTCATTTATTCTGGAAATTTAATAAATAATTTTTCTTTCAATGTCAAAAAAACAGAGTAAAATAATTCTAAATCAAGTCATGATGAGGACTTCAGCTCAAGAGGAAAAGACATGAGTTTTTGTTTTCATGCTAATTACTCACCTGAGCGCCAAAGTTACAAGAAGCTGAAAAAAAAAAAAAAAAAAGGCTTTCAGAATAGTGGGAAGCAAAGTAGCAAAGTGGCTAAACCAGTTGTAAAAAGTAAGAGCAAATTCATTTGCTATATTTAATACAAAAACACTCAGTGCTACTTTTAACTTAAAACAATAATTGTCATGACTGGGTTTGTTTTTTTTTCTTTTTAAAAAGACTTTATTGGCAACATATTTTTTTATGAAGCCAATCTTGTAATGATTTGTAATGAAAAAAAAAGTTTAAAAAAAATATTCAACAGATTTTGTTAGTTAAGGTGTTTTTATCTGGTTTTGCCCGAAATCATTTGTTTTTATTCTTTCCATAAAATTTTGGACAAGTGTCCTCTGACCTTCCTCATGTGTTTGCTGTGTTCTAGAATATTCTTGAATCCTGTTCTGAGGAAACAATCCTTCTCATACATGTCATATCCAGCACTCATAGTCTGGCCCAAGAGGTGGTAGGATATACAACATTCACTAGATCAGCACAGTCGTCACCAATAAAACACAGATGTGAACACTGGACTGTAAATGTACATGAGAGAGGCCATACATATTTACCCGGGATAAGATTTCATGACATTCCAGAAAACAGACACCTGATGAAAGCTAGAGAGTACATGGCTGAAACATAAAGAAGAGGGGGAGGGAGTTCAAACCAACCCCATAGAATATTTAAATTATTTGGACCATCATCATTTCTTTTGCCTTTTTTTATCAATTGGTCTGGTTGGTGCAATATCCAACCTTCTTAAAAAATGTTTTTTTTCTTTCAATACTAGTGAAGGCATGATATAGACCGCAATAGAAATATTTTAAATTAATTAATACAACATAACTGAGGAATGTTTGCGAGCACACAGGCTGAAATGTTGCAATCAAAGCAACTATGGTAGGGATGCTTCAATAATGACCTATACTTTACGTCAAAATTTTAAGCAGCTGAAAACTAATTTTTTGAATATGCATTCACATTTGCTTGTGTAATTTTATATTATTTTTATTAATACAGTAGAACTCCCCAAATGTGAATATAGTATAATATAGACTTCCTCAAATTTGGACTCATCTTCAAATATGAACTTTTGTATTGACATAAATATGAAGCCTTTTCTTCTTTGAATCAATATCAAACATCTCAGATTTTCGGTTTAGAAGAGTTGTACTACATGGAAAAAAAAAATGTCTTACTATAAAGGTAATTTACATTAACCAGAAAAAAAAAAAGGCTTAGATAGAAGCATCTATCTTTTTAAATTTGGATTTTTTAATGTAACTATAACAACAAAAACATTTCGATTTCATTTTTGCCTTGAAAAAGTCAGAAGACGAAACACATCAACAAAATCTAAGATTTTTTTCCAATTGTCATTTTATACCAAGAGTTGTACTGTATACCCTTATTTTTGACTTCCTTTACAGATTGTAATTGTTTTTGAATAAGATATTTCATAAATTTTTAAACATTTCATAAAGTGTTTTAGTTTTTCACAAATTACAATATTTGTTTGGCACAAATTTTTTTCATTACTATTGGTTGCCAATTATTTTTTGTACATTTATCCATTCAATCTACATTTTAAAAATGAATGAATGTTACTAACTACCTAAACTCTAAAACTTAATAAAAATTTTAAGTTTGCTACAGCAGCCTTTTCTTTCTCGAACTGAACATCTTAGATGTTTGGTTTAGAGGGGATGTAGTGTATATTTTTTGGTGGTGAGTGAGGAAGTGACATATTAATTTTAGCCTGGTAGAAAAAAAAATAATATAAATTATGTAAGTACACTAATCGAAATTCAAGATAACAGCAAAATTTACATTTAAATAATTTAACTGCTTAGTACCTGGACATAGTTACAGATGTGAGTTATCAAGAAAATTTCAGCTTATGGCTATATCATATTGAAACACCAGTTCTTGTATGATCACCTAAGTTAAGCAACATCAAACCTGGTCAGTACCTAGATGGGTGACCACTTGGAAACACCAGGCACTGTAAGGTTGGAGGTGCAGGTGGTGTAATGGATAACAGCTCAAAACTGGAGAACTGAGTTCCAATTCCAATTGGGTTTGTTATATTTACTTATATGCAAATATTCTTGGCAAAGGTATGAATCCACCTCTTCTCTCTCCAGCTATGGGCTAATTAGTAGGATTTGTATCAATAAAATCCTTATTATTTCCCCCCAAATTCTTACACTCTAAAAATATTTTATGGCTTTAAATAACCTGCAAAAGCCATAAGAAATATAAGCCATAATATATATAAATGATAAGCCATAAAAAACAAATTGATCAGTCAACCAATTTTCAATAGGACACTACTTGGAGGGGGGGTACTTTCAGAGCATAATAAATTTCATAGTAAAAAAAAAAAAAAAAAATTTAGTCTTTACTGTGTATATTATTGATAGAATAATGAAAATTAAATTTTAAATTAATTTAAAATTAAATTAATTTTTTTGGTATATAAAAAAATATGTTCAACTAGTAGAACAATGTGTATTGAAAGGTTAGGGTGGGTTAGGGGTTACTTTCATAGCATAATAACAGCTTAAGGTGAATCACTGACTAACTAAATACATTTTTGTTTTTAAATCATCGAATCACTCATTAAAAGCATTAAATAAATTTTCTCTATTTACATGTGGACTATTGTCGTCAGCTTTGTTGGTGTGATAACAACAACAAAATGTCAGTTTGTTTTTGTTTAGTGGCATATCAAACTCTATGGGTTATTTAAAACTGAAATCTAAATATTTTTTATATTTTATTTTTTTTTTTTTTATAGTTTTAGTGATAGAAGTCTTACTAATTAACTCATAGCTGGAGAATATTTGCATGTAAGTGAATATAACAAACCTGACTGGAATTGGAACTTGGCTCTTATCCATGGGACGCTTTTATTCACATGGCCTAGTGGAAAAAAGCATTGGTTAAAGTAATCCAGTAACTTGACCCAAAGAATAGTTAGTTCAACACCTGGCCACAGCAGAGGTGAACAAAAAAAGAAGAATTGAGTTACTAAAGGGAAATAACTGAAACTGAGATATCCAGAAAGGGCATGGCAAGTGGAACTAGAACAATCTACCCCAGTGGACAAAATAAAGGATTTGGTTCAAATTCCAATATATATCACCTGAAGGCAGCTGGAGTGGCCAAACGTATGACAATAAGATGAGGACAACAGTCTGAACAATGCAAATAGGTATAATATCTCACTTCAGAAATATTGAAAATGTAGAATAATAAGTTTATTACAATATACAACTTAATACAAGCTGAAGAAAACATACATTATCTGACCTAAAACATCTTTTTTGCCTTTCGATCTGCAAATCTTTTCATGGCACTTTCTACATCCATCTTCTTTACAAGATCATTTTCTATTGTCAAAATAGCCAAAGAATTTAATCTATCTTGAGTCATGGATGATCGTATGTATGTTTTTATAAGTTTTAGTTTTGGAAGATCCCAAACACAACATGGCAGCCTTGATTTTGCCCTGGATGACTGCCTGGGTATCTTGAGCTGGTCCTGATGGTACCTAGACTTTATGAATTTAAGTGCAGTATAAGAGTGGCAACGAGGTCTATACTTCTAACATTTCTGCTTCAACTCTGAAATTTTATTTAATATTTATTCTATTTCCACTCAGTAGATAGATTCACTTATTGTCTGGATCACACTTTTCCTCAGTCTTTTGAACAGGAGTCAAAGTTTATCCCTTGTTTCTGGTTTAGTATTGGGTTCCATCTAAAATCTTTTCATTCCCTTTCACTCCCAGTAGCTCCTTGCAGCATTATCACCTTGTTTGAGGTGAAATGATTAAAAAAAAAAAAAAAAACAAACAAAAAAAACATTACAAGATTGCTTTAAAAATTAGCAATAAAATTAGCTAATAAAAATAAATTATAATTAGTTAAATTAAATAATAAAATTAATTATGAATAAAATTAATTCATAAAAAAAATTCTGAGAACAAACCTGGACTTTTCATAGCAGACATTTCAGTAACTGTATTTTCAGGTTCAGAAAAACTCCGCATATGTGATTTAGTTACTTTTGTGTAGAGAGACTCTGTTTCTTTGATGTTTTTAAGTCCTGCCGTTTTGCCTTCCTGTTGTGATGCACTAAAATGGTGAAAAGAAGCAGACGTTGCTCCCTTTGAGCTGGCTATCTCTGGAACTTGATTACCATTTATTTGTACATTCTCATATTCAGGTGTTATTTTTTTTCTAGCAGGCGGCACCGATTGTCTGTGGAGATTGATGGCAGGATTTTGTTGCATCGATGATGGCTGCGATACATTGTCATCTTTGCTTTCTGTTCCTTCTATTCTAACCCGAGTCACAAAATTTCCAGAATTATCCGAGGAAATTTCTACATTATGATAAGTATGAAGAGACTCGCTTTTGGAAATTTTAGACTTGTTCTCTCCTAGTGACGGAGAACTGGACAGTGAGGCCTGTAGATGTCCAGGACTTGGTACCTTGAGTGGTGACTTCACTTTTGGGCTTGGAGAACGAACAGGGGTTGAAGTGTTACTTGATTTGGGGCTTGTGGACAATGTGTCTGGCTTTTGGGCTAATGATGAGGTGGAGCTTTCAGTTTCTGCATCATCGTCATCATTAGGTTGATCTTTGCCTTAAAAAAAGAAAAAAAAATAATTTTTGTAGATTAATATATTCAGGTGAAATAATTTGACATTTAATTAGAATAAATTTCTGCACAGTTGAGTCAAACAAATATCCTTCTTTGTAAAATAAAAGTGTCATCTTTTTCTGATTTGGAAGGTAAGACAAGTCAAGATCTAGAGTTTTGTTTATACTGCTACAGCTTTTCTAGTGACTGGGGTAGGCTAACTCTCAGTCCCTCTGTCATACCTATTTTATTATTAATAGACTCTCCCACACATAAGTAGTAGTAGTAGCGGTCGCCAGTTGGGCTCAGTGGTGTTGAGTGAGTCAGTCGATGTTGGACATTGAAGTATCAACCATCACAACTAGATTGCTGCGTCATTTACTCTTATTTCAAGTTCCTAATGTTTTGTATGTCGAACCTACTTTAGGACGACTTATTGAAATACAAGCCTTCACTGTGAAAACTATTCTACAACACCCTCTTTCCAAGCATCCCTGTCAAGCAGGCTAATGTAAGCAAGGCTGCACTCCTGTACATCCCTCTCAATGTAGTCCTTCCATGTCTTCCTAGCTCTACCTCAAGCTCCGACTACGAACTCAGAACTTTAAAACAGTCCTAAATCATGATGATGCTTGTTGGACATGATCAAACCATCTAACACAATGTGTGTGCAGCACTAATTTTATATTCTTGTTAACAACTCAGATGAAAGGATTTCATATTGAGGCTTGGTGCCACAGATCCAGTGAATCATCAAGTGGCTGTTGCAACAGAGCCACTGCAAGACCAACGTACTTAGTGCCCAAGTCTTACTGCTGTGACGCAGTGCAGATCATACACACAGAGAATAATTAACACTACACTACTTGGAATATTGGTTCAGAATGTAAGAATAATTTTTTTTTTTAAACAAATCTTGTCATAGCGAGGTTTGACAAACATGACCATACAATTAAAAAATCTTTTTATTAAATTACCCTTTCACTTTCTAACACCGTGTCTAACATTAGACTTTTTTCCTAATTTTTAGAAAACCAAATAAATGGATTCTCAGAAATATTTGCACTATTAATATGCAGAATATGTCACAAAATATAGTAAACTATTTGTCACTTTTACAACATAGCAACAGATTTTACCAGATTTTCTAAGGCTTCCAATTATTAGCCAGGTTAGTGCAATAAAAACAGACACGATCAAAAGGGACAAGCGGAAAACTTTAACTACAGTAGTTGACAATATGAAAAGAAAAACATGAAAAAATCCATTAGAATTGGCTAACTGAACTCAATCAAAAATATTAAAATATTGTGCATACTGACTAAAAAAAAAAAAAAAAAAGGAACACGAGGAAGAAAATACACATGTATCAACAATATATTGAGAGAGATATATCTATAGACAGATCACTAAATCCTAACAATATATCCTTTTGTTTGCATAAGGATGCTTGTCTTGATTTAATATAAATTGTCTTGTGGACTTTTAGGTGATAATAGGAATATGATTCACTCAAAACTAAGAACATATCTTCAAATATTCAGAATTCTCATGTTAATACCATTTGGAATTTGTTATGTAACCTCTAATATCTCACCTCAAAACATCAGACATTTATTTTCCAGAATTTTGAAAACATTAAATTTTTCCCAGTTTTGAAGACATTATTGGAGCACAAAATGGAATTTTCCTAGGGTTCACTGACCCTCTCCAAAGAAAAAAGAAAAAAGTAAACCTTTAATATAATGTATGTACTGTATTTCTAAACATCAAAAAGACGTATTTTTAAAAAAAAAAAATTTTATTAAATTTAAAGGCATTTATATTAAGACAATATTAAAGAGAATATTTTAACCCTTAAGAGATGACAGGGCTGATATATCGGCTGAAAAGTTGAATGATGAAGAAGACGATTGGGTCAATCCATCAACCTGAGATTAGCTGGCTGGTCTTTGTACCAGCCAGCCAGCCAATCAGATTGCTTCTTGCACATGTGGACATTTCAATGGTGGTTTCTGTGATAGTTTGTTCTGTGATTTTTGTAGTGAAAGAGATAATCAGGTACCCCGGAAAAAAAGTTTGTGTTTTGTGTGTGATCTGCCGAAGAAAAATTACCAAAAAGTAATCAGCGAAAATCTACATCAATGACTAGAAGCTATGCTAATGTTCTTCCCTCCCCTGAATGGCGTGACCAATCAGAAAATTCTCTCAATGATCAGAAGTCATCTTTTTTCGCTTATAAAGGAGATGATTTTTTTTTGAGCTGTGACCCCATTTTGTCGTCTCTATGGTGTGTGTTGGACTGTTACGTCGGACTATCGTGTAGACTGCGATTTGGCTACAAGTGTTGCGGCCGAGAAACAAAAAATCTATTGCTGTTGCTACGATCAGTTGACAGTTTTTTTTTTTTTTTTCTTTACCTCTACAATTTTATATCAATTATTTTGTGTTCCAAGGGAAAAGAACTCCCTCTTGTTGGCACTGAAACTCCAAATGAGGCTCAGTCTCCAAAGGGTTAAAACAAAAAATAAAAATAAAAACAATAAACTTAAGATAAGAGATTTAACAAAAATAAAATTAAAATAAAAGAATTTAAGGCAAATTTCAGAAATAAGAACAAAATGTTTATATAAAAAGCAAAAGGAGCCATAAATAATTTAAATATAAGTTTTGATTTGATGGCAGCTGCTTTTTGTCACTCATTTAATGAGAAATTTGATTGACATGTTTTAGCTTTGAAAGAAAAAAAAAAAAAAAAAAAGATAAAAGAAAAGAGAATTATAATGCATAAAAAATAATTTAAACAACATTAATTTACATATCTGAAAGTATAGATTTAGGAGCACTTCACAGTGACCACTGCCCCTGTGTACTTTTGAATTCTCATAAGGCATCAGTGTTACTTCCATTTCCAGTCTAAGTATCAACTTTACTGGAATTCTCTCTCTTCTAATAAAGAATAGAGGACATTAAGAAATAAACCACCTTAGCTCACAAGTAGACAGAAGTGGTATATACATATTTGTATTCTATTTTTAATTTAAAGTCTAAACAAGTCTGCATCAATTGTTTAAAAAAATTATAGCAATACTTACCCACTTCTGATATGTCTGCATATTCCTGAAATTAGAAAGAAAATGATTTAATGTAACATTGGAACCAAATGTTTCACAAATTGATACGTCCTATCAACTTGAAAATATACTTGAAGTTCTGAGATAAAGAACTTTCACATCTCCATAAATTTAACAGCTGAAAATTCTGGGACACATTAAGGAAAGACGTCTAGAGAATTTAACACTCACAGGAAGCATCTAAATCAGGGAGAATCAGCAAGTACTTGGAGTTTGTGTGAATTTATAGTAGAACAAAGACAAATACAGTTAGTAAAGTATCAAAAAGTACTTAGAGCAGAAAAGACATGATCATCCATGTCTAGAAAGAATATGGCATATAAAATATCAAATCATTTTATCAGTACTATTTGTAAAGTTCATTTACCCCTCTAAAACAAAATTGCAATTCCCATAGCAACAATTTTTTGGCAGTAACATTTATCAGCATTAAATGGAGAATCAAGGGGTTGTGTTAAAATTCCAACTGAGTGTCACATTCATTTTTCACCAATGATCTTGGGAAAGGCATGAACCCATTTCTGCTCCCATCCTCTCCCTAGCTACAGATCAAATAACAGGTTGGACTCTGCTCACTAGCCTTTGATGGTAGCCAGTCTAGGAGAAAGACAACTCTGCATTCAAAATTCTAAACTTGGAGAAAGCAATTGGGGGAAAACCATTATCTTTCAAAAAAAAAAAAAAAAAAAAAAAAAAAAAGTCATGGTAGTTCACAAATAAAGAAAAGGAATCTGTGGAGAGCCAGAATTACCTGCATCCTGAAAGTACATCACTTTAAAAACATTTTAAAAGTACATTATTGAAATGATGAAGAGAATGCCACATACAACCAAACATGCCTTGAAATAAAAGGCCAGTCTAGGAAATTGTGAACAGAGAGTTTGTCAAAGATTATATAGAAATTAGTTGTACAAGAGAATAATGGCACAAGAAATTATATAGAAATTAATCGTATCTATCTATCTATATATAAAATTCTATGACTGCCATCATCTGTCCATCACACCCTCTAAAATAATCATACATTGACCAATCAAAACCAAATTTTGGGAAGAAGTGCAAACAGATAAGGGGGGTACAAAGCATAGTTGGTTTTAGTAGGGTGCGTAGTTTAGTACAATAAATTTTCATTTATTTTTTAGGAAAATTAAAAGTTTTATTATTTAACATACGAAATACTCCCACTATTTTAAAAACAATTTAATGAGTAAAATAACAAATACTTATTTAATAAAAATGTAATGTTTTTGCATACCTTTTCTTTAAGTTTGAAAATTTTCTAGTGAGGATTTTAAAAAAAATTCTAGTATATAAAATTTTGTGACTTATTAGTCTGTCCATCAGACCCTCAAAAATAGCCATATATTGACTGATCAAAACCAAATCTTGGGGAGAAGTGCAAACAAGGTACAAAGTACAGTTGGTTTTACTAGGGTGATAACTTCAACAATACTAAATACTGTGAGGATTTCAACACATCAGTAGTCGCAAAAAGTTCTAGTAAAAGAAAAATTCAGACAAAACTTATTTGTCTCATTAATAACCCAACAAGATTTTTGCATATTTTTTAGGTTTACATCAATAGATTTCTTTAACACTTTTGCTGTATAATTATAACATTGTTGCCTGGCTATGCTGACCCATTGTGGGTAAAATAAGTTGCCATTTACTGGAAATAAATGACTTAAAAGACACTGACAGTGATTTCTTAATGACACCACTATTTTGGTTTCAAACAGATTCTCAGCAGTACAGACTAAGTACTAAAAGACACTGACACGCAATAAAATAAATACGTCACAAAATGATTTTTATTGTACACTATGTGTCAATTTGAATTAACATCATTTTTCAAATGTTTCCATATTTTTTTAATGCAAGTAAAATTAAATAATCTAAAAATACATAGTTTAAAGATATTTTCACTATATTTTTATGTTGATGAGAAATACTAACCTAATTTCAGTTAGATGCTCATTCTTAAATAAAAAAAAAAAATATGAGGGGGAAAAAAAAAAACAATTTAATTTTATCACAAACCAGGAACTGGTTCTGCAAACCTCTGTAATTTTAGTAACTGGTTTCAAGTGAATCAGTTGAATTTCACCATTGTGTCTCTCTATGTTTGTTGTGCTACACAAATATTTACAGAGTTTAGTTTGTTCTGGCCCAAGGCAACAAAAATTGAGCAATTAGCAACAATTTCCCAACACAATGTTGTTAAACTTGATCCACAAAAAACTATATTACAAAAGTTGAATTTATAAATTTTTTTTTTTTATTACTATCTTTATTGATTTTAGTACAGCATTTTGGTTGATATATTCTTCAGCCTTCTTTTGTCAGCAAAAGGGGCAGCCCAAGATATGACCTACAATGTCAGAATCAAACACACACAGAAATTTAACTAACTGGTATCATTTACACCAAAGTCTGTAGAAAATATTTTTTGGTATAGTAAAACAAGAAATAAAATCACTGTAACAACTGGAAAATGCACATTGATGATAATAATCTTCTATGTACCATGTCCCTTTAGGATGTGGATGATCATGGCTCTTCACAATTTCCTGTCCTTTGAAGCCCTTAATAAACTTTGTCCTTTTGCTATATCTCTGAATCCATGTTCTGCCAAACATTTAAACAAGGTAGGTCATGTATTGCTTTCCTCTCTCCCTTTTGCTTTTGCTGTCAGTGACAAATTTTCTTCATTATGTGCCCTAGAAATTTTTGATGTTATGTATAAGTGTTTTTTTTTTCATTTTCTCATTGTTGTCTTCAGTCCATGGTATTTTCAGTATCCTTCTGTAGAATCACATTTCTGTTGCCTTTTCTCTACCTGTGATGAGATGGTCCAGCATCTACCATAAATGAGGGCCGATATTACATAATTGTTCAGTACTCTTTTCTTTGTTTCCAATGAAATATTCCTCTTTCTTAATAATTTGCTTAACTTTTGAAAGGCATCTTTCACTATCCCAACGCACTTTTGTATTTTAGAACTGCATTTTCCAACCTCAGTTAAAACATCTAAAATATCTGCCAAGATAGTTTTTGCACTTGTTCAATTTTGGTATCGCCAGTTTTAATTTGCATGTTGGGCTGTTTCTTTTGCTGACAACCGTACATTCTATCATCTTACAGTTGATGCTTAGTCCTTTCTTCTTGCTTTTATTTACTATCTTCTGTAGGATTTCCTGTAATTTCCTTTCTTTGCCTGCAATCAACACTGTACCATCTGCATATCTAATGTTGTTAAAATTATGTCCTCCAATAATGAATCCTGGTAGGACTTGTAATTCTCTCATGATTGCTTCACTGTAAAGGTTGAATTAGATCAGTGAGGAGACACATCCTTGTGACCCTTTCTATTTTTGTGTCTATTTACTGAATTCATTTTCTATCCGTATGCAGGTGGTTGACCCCCAACATAAGTACTGGATTATTCTAATATCATTTCCAAATAAATCAAGATTACTTAGCAATTCAAACAATTCTTTGTGATGTACCTTGTTAAATGCTTTACATAATCTATAAAACATAGGTATGACCAGCAATTGATAAAACACATAAGCCATGGTCGTTGTTTACATGATGTGATTTACATGGATCTAGTTGTATGGAAATTCTACTTTATAAGTTTTCCTTTTCTTAATGTGAAACAAAAATGTTCACAAGATTCTTTCATTAAGTTAAAGATTTCTATTATAATTTATTTTAATACAGGTTGAGTATCCTTTATCTAAAATTCCAAAATTTGAAAACCTCTAAAATCTGAAAGTTTCTCGGGTGTTGACATGACTTGCCACAAATAGAAAATTTCAGAAAGCAACATGGCTACCCATAGCATAATTATTGCATTGCAGCGTTACAAATAAAATGCTGATCTTTTTCAGTTTTCATTACATTTAACTGTAATCAAAATCCATGTTTAGTTTTTATAAAAATACTGTACCTGTATGTATAGCAACATTTTAACCAAAACACGACATTGTTGGTAGAGACTGATAGCTTACCGAATTTTCCTTCTCACACAGTGATGTCATCGATGATGTACCCTCTCCTCCTTGTTTCTCACACCTGATGTAGAAGTAGTGTTTGGGGTTTCACTTATATATTTTTTGTAAGTAGTGATCATGTATTTTTGTACAAGTACAGAAAGTACAAAACATTTTTGTGTGAAATCTTACTTCAGATTCTTCACCACTTAAAAATCTGTGAGAGCATTACATGACTAGCGTCATTACTTGTATCTACGTACAGAAAATCTATCAAATTATATTAAAACTACTTTCAGGGTATATGTTATTTACATAAAACTACTTTCAGGGTATATGTTATTTATATAAAACTACTTTCAGGGTATATGTTATTTACATAAAACTACTTTCAGGGTATATGTATAAGTTGTTATAAAATGTAAAGTGATATCATCTTTATGCTTGGGTTCCATTCCCAAGCTGCCCTATTTAATAGATGCTATAAAAAATTAAACAGCCTGTAAAAAAAAAAAAAAAAAAAAAAAAAAAAAAAGAAAAAAGAGAGAGAGAGAGAGAGAGAGAGAGAGAGAAAAGAAAAACAAAGCACTTCTGATCCCAAGAATTTCAGATAAAGGATTCTCAACCTGTATATTATTCATTTTATGCTTAAATAAAGGGGAATAACTATGCAACTGGCCAAAATCCAACTACATTTAAAGTTAGTTTTCTTAGTACAACTACTAATATATAATTTTGCTCAATGTTTTCAAATATGTGGTTGTGTACAATTTTTAAAAAAAAATATTTTTTTGTGATAAGCCATGGACATCATGATGGAAGAGAAAAATTTTAAAATACGGTAATCAATTCCTGAGAGGGTTTTATTGTGCAAACTTAAGATTTGGAGAAAAATGAATGATTTGATTAGAATAGATTTTGCTTTAAATAATTGGTTTGTCATTTCTGTTCAGGACTGAGACTTTTTCCAATAAAAAGGAAAAATCAAAGCCAATTTAGATTTAAGTACCACTAAGAATATCAGACAATGTAAAAGTAAAAAGGCATTTATTGGGAAAATATACTTTCAACAGACAAATGCATTATTTATAAGATTACCTGTTTAACTACTTCATCTTATAACTGTGGGAAATCACGTGTCAAAGCCTGGTGTCAAGCAAAACCCAAATAAAATGATTCCCACTGACAAGATTAGAAAATCCATACAGAATGTGATTATAATCATAATGATATCATAAGTTATTAAAAAAAAAAAAAAAAAACAACAACAACAACAACTTACTGGTTCAATGCATTTGTCACTTTGTGAGGTATTTACATTCTCAAAAATATTGACATTCTCATATACAGCTCCGTGTCCAAGGGACTTGAGATGGTTCTTAAAAATTTGACGCACAACATAATGAGCAAGTTGGTATTGATCCTTAAAAAGAACAAAGAGGAAAGCACAAACATTATAATTTTAACACATTAAAATTTTTACTTTGTAAGTATTTTGTATTTTATAAGTATTCTCTTAATTCCTAAAAGGAACTTCATTTGAATATCATCAAATCTTTATCACTCTGTATGTGACTTCACTTGCTGTATAAAAAGTTTATCCTGGCACTGAAGGTGACTCTGAACAATAGCATGTTAGAATTCCATAGATGTGTTGTCATATCCTGCTATGGCAACGAAAAACAACTTTGAGTTAAATTAACAGCAAGGTTACTATAATTGAGAGACCTTGAAAAAGAATGCAGTGGAAACAGAAGTAATATTAATAACGCAGAATGCTAAAGGTTAACTGAGAAATAATAAATCATTTAAGAAATATCATCCTGTTTCATTTAAAAATTATCTGCAATTATTTCTTCAGATGTTTATAAAGAATCTCAAAAGAAAAGATTTTTGAAGTTTAGTTAAACTGGGCTGGGTTTTGTGTATTTAGTTGAAACAGAGCAAGCAATAACTGAGCAGTATTATAAAATAAAACCTGGAGATATCCCTAGGCATGGGTAGTGGAGTGGGCTCAGCCTACCTCCAGTAGATTAAATAAAGGTTTTCAGTTTGGTGTTACCTGGATCGACATACTCCTGATGAAGGCCAGAGGAAATAAGGGCCGAAACATTGTGATGATAACAACAAAGATGAGGACAATAGTTCTCTTGTAAATACTTAAATATACTCAAGATAAATTTGACATTTAATTAGTCTAAATTTCTGCACAGGTGAGTTAAGGATTCATGTCACTCTTTCTAGACATTAAAGTTGGTCACCTTTTTCAATATGGAAGATAAGTATTGTCAATTATGATAAGTAGTGATATGTAAACATGAATTTTGTTAAGGAATTAAAAGTAACTTTTTGAATAGCAAATTTCTTTTTCATAGAAAGACATGACTATGCAATTAGAAATTGTTTTTGTTAAATTAACCCTTTCTTTTCGCTTTTAGCATCTCACATTATTAGCCACTTTTAATTTTTTCCAAATTTTAAAGAGAATCAATGAAAGGATTTCCAGAAACATTTTCACTATTAATGTGCAGAATATTTCAGACAATATGTCCCTTTTACAACATGGCAATAGGTTTATGAATTTTATCAAATTTTCCAAATTTCACACTATTAACAAGGTTATTGAAATGCTAAGAAACATTTTGTTATAATTAAAATTTTGCATTATAAGTATGAGGTCTGATCAAAAAGTATCGAGACTGGTGCTACAAAATGAAAACTACAACACATATCAATTCGACATTTAATCTCCTTTGGAGCAGTCCCCTTTTGAAGCCAGCTTCGTTTCCATTGATGGAAGCATTTCTGGAACTCCTTTTTTGGAATAGTGAACATTCTCTTGGATTTCCTTAATGTCATGAAATTTTGTTCCTTCCAAGAGCAATTTGATTTTTGAAGAGGAAGAAGTTGCAATGGACAAGATCTAGGGGAATATGGTAGTTGCCAAACCTGAGGAATGTTGTTCTTGGTGAAAAACTGCTACACAAACCATGGTCACTGATGGAATTTCTATGGTGTGATAAGAGAACACTTTTCCTTCCAAGCACAATAAACAATGGCATGAGTGAGAACGTTTTAACTTCTGTGCCAAGTGGCTTCACTCTGCATACTTTGGCTCTATTACCATAGCAACAATCTTGATACTTTTTGATCAAACCTCATATTTAGCATTTTCCTTATTTCTTAAAGAGACTTCATTTGAATATAAAATTCATTTATTCGGGGGACTTCTGAATAAAAAATATTTACATAAAATTGATTGAAAAATAATAAAGAATTCAAGATAATGTGATTTTGTTTCAAAATAAAAAATAAATAATAAACTTACAGGTGTTTGTACCATTGACTGTCGCTGTGTACGCATAAATTTAATGATTTCGAATAAACTGAAATCTGGAGTGATATTCTGAAAAAAATAAAGTTTACATATAAAATGAAAAGTAAAAACACAAAAAGAGTTAAATATAAAACAGTTATTTAGTTGTGAAGAGGATAGAATAAAAAAATAAGTTTGTGATATAAAAAGATTTTGGACCGAATAACTTCTTATAAAGTTTTCTATTCTAACCAATGATGTAATTAATGATTTTAGTTGTAAGAGTTATTTAAATTTTGTTACTACCAAGGTTAGCTATAAGAGAGAAAACATATAGAGTGATAAAATAAGGTACAAAATAATATATATATCTCAAATTATTTACTAATTTTATTCTAATAGTAGACAATCATATCTCTAGAAAATTATACAAAAAAAAAAAAAAAAAATTCTAAGGAGCAAGTCCCACCCAGGCAGTTTCTTCTCCAAAACTGATACTTTGTGGAACAAACTGTCAAGGGGATGCTTCTCTGACAACTACAATCATGGTCTCTTCAAGTCCAGGGTCAACCAATATATCTATCCTACATGTCCTCATAATATGAATTTCTTATCTCCTCCATCCCACTCCCTTACAACAATCTAACTTGAGTGGCCCTTGCGTCTTGTATTGTGTGAACTAATTGATTTTTTTTTTCCTCTTAAATCCCTAAAAACACATTTGTATTTGTTCAACAGCTACAGTGACCACCTGGGGTTTATACTGCAACTATGCTGAGCAGACCTTAGTTACAGTTTTTGGGAGTGCATTGTCTGGTGTGATCAACAAGACAATACACTCCCAGGACCAGTACACACAATCCCTTGATCATGATGACTTGTGACCGTGTTCCCACAACCATCGACAGCTACCCAATTAGTTCTGTTTACCCAATTACATTCACAAAGGGTCAACTTGTGGTATGGTTTTCAGACACTTTCCAAAGGTGCTGCATGTTGGGATCACCTCCACAGGCTGGCAAATAACATCAAGAAGTCATCTTCCTGATAAATTTACCATGCTGAGATTTGAACCCGGGTCAGAAAGCTAATGTACTAACCACGTGCCCTCATATGTGCGTGCGTGTGTGTAGACATTGAAGTCAACACTCAGAGGCAACAGACATTTTCATGCAATTGTTAGGCCATATGCATTGTATTTTTTCTCGACTATATATACGGGTCAGTGATACATTGTGGGTAGTCTGTTCTAATGATTATTTTGGCAGGAGTAGTTTGTTAATTTGATTATTATTTACTTTATTTATTTGGATTAATTCATTTTACTTGTTTTTGTTTATTTAGTTTTACTTCATTTATTTTTATTTATTCTTTTCAGTTCTCAATTTTTAATTAATGTAGTAAAAATTTGTTTTTGCGTCTGCATTTTGAGATGGGTTCTGAATGTTTATTTAATAGTTTGTTTTGTTTGATTGTTGTAGGCTGATGTTCTGTTCCTTATTTTCCATAATATTTTGGTGCGATTTGTTTAATTTCCCAGATATACTTGGAAAGCATTGTGCTGTTCATGTATTTACTATTTGTGAAAGATGTTTTGTGTGCATAGTTTCTTTGTTTCCAGGGTCCTTGAGTTACTCCTATGTATATTTTTTCTTTGTTATCTGATGATTTTACTGTGGCTTGTTTTGTAAGCAATTGCCGTTAAAGGGACATTCATTTTTTATTTTCATTTTTTATTCTACAGTTACACGTGGGTTTAATTTGTTTGTGTGGTTTGTTGATAGTTTTCTTGTGCTTTTTAATTATTTGTGTCATGTTCTGGATGCAACTGTAGCTGATTTTTACTGTGTTTTTGTTGAATATTTTGTGGAGAGTGCTATATATGTGTGTGTGTGTGTGTGTGAGAGAGGAGAAGGAAAGAGAAGAAAATACCTACTCCATTTTTAAGCAGAGTCTGGGCATAATCTATGGCACATATTGTTCCTGTCCGCCCACAACCAGCACTGAAAATTAAAAAAATAAAATAAAATTTACTGCATTTGACAAATATTATTCAATGTTATTTGAAGTTACAGAACATTTTTTATATTTGTTACAGAAAATAAAACATTTTCCTCATTAAAACTTTTCTTAGATCCATTTTTACAAGGAAATTTGTTTACCAACATATACACACACACAAAAAAAATGAAAAACAAATACACCTCAACAAAAAAAAAAAAAAAAATTTAATTCATTCTGATATCAGTAACAAAAAAGAAATTTATTCATGTACAAAGTCACTTTTCTATTTTATACATAAAAATGAATGCATTTTATTTACATGTATATAAAGCAGTTTTCACAGATCAATTTGCAAGCCTCACTGTTAAGATGAATTTAAAAACGGAGATATCTACGGTTGATAAAGTTTCAGTAATGTTATGTCTCCTGTTTAGGATTGAGTTTGCAGTTGCTTCTAAAGTTTACTCCAACTCTATATTTTTAATGTCTGTGGTTAAAGTCTTAAATTTTATTAACTATTTATTTACCAATAGGAGTAGGTAAGTTTGCCTATCATCCAGTTCACACTCCCCTAGTCCACCAGATTTTTTGAACAGGAGTAGATGTTTAGGATTGGGCTTCTGGTTGCTTCTAAAGTCTTTTCATTCTCTTTTACTTCTACTAGCCCCTTGCGTCTTAGTGGTGTTATTACCTTGCTTGGGGTGAATTGAAAAAATTTACTTATATAGTGTGATATCCTAAATTTTTGATTCTGACAGGAAATTCATTTGTTTCTACATAGGTAAATACTGTGTGTGCAAAAGAATAAAAAAAATTGATTAATGGTAGGCATTAATGGGTTAATTAATTCTTATGTAGAAACCTATAATTTATTTTTCTTATTTTTTGAAATCTTTCACCCCAAGCAAGGCAATAAAGCCACTAACATGCATGGGGTTATAAAGAACGGACAATAAAAAGAACGGGATTTATGCAAATAGAAGATGATGATTGACATTAGATTTAAATCTTTGAAGATCAAAATTGACTGGAAAGTAAGAAGCTGGGAGAGATCTCTACATGTAACAAGGGAAGAAACTTTTAGCATAGAACTTACAGTTACATCTAGCCATTTCAACTGTAAAACCTAACTGCCAATCTAGTACTGCACTTAAATTTGTGAAGTCAACATATTAGACACACCTCCATTTCAGGAGGACAAATTCGAGGGTAAAAGGTTGATAAAATTCACCAACAATCAACAACTCCTCTCTAAGAACAGTATTATCAGTCAATGTATAATATAATTAGTCTGTCAATACTATTGACATTGTAGAAGAGAAGACAACTTACTTTGTGCGGCAAAGTGAGTAAGTATATGCTTGGTGTGCAAAACGAGTGAAGGAAAGGAAAGGAAAGGAAAAAGAAATATGGCTGCTCTGACACCTTAATTTAATAAAGACACATTCTCGGAGTTAAGAGAATTCACAAGTGTGGGTGAACATATGCAAATTTTTTAGCAAGATCAGCTGAGCATAAAAATCATCATGCGAGTGAGTATAGTTGAGTTTGTTCATAAATGTGGCGCTGCTTGTGCAGAGAGACTTCATCAGTTGGAAAGAGATTACTTGGATCAGTTTCACACAAACTATTTCGGCAAAAATGATAGAGGAGAAATTTGACCTTAAACTTATTCCCGAATTTGATGATACTGCATCTGGACCATCTGTGGTTGAATGGATTGTGAAAGCTGAGCTGGTCTGTAAGATGTGCCGGGTTAAATATCCAAAACACGTAGTCCCTTTAAGGCTAATGCGTGGTGCATTTGCTGTCTATCAACAGTTGAGGGAGAACGAAAAAGAGGATTTCAGCTGGATAAAATCTGCATTATATACAGCTTTTGCTATGGATGGTTTTCTGGCTTATGAACAATTTGCTGAGTGACAGCTCTGTCCTGGAGAATCGGTGGATGTCTATCTGGTGAAGTTATGAAAACCTCTGTCCTGTTCAGCGAAATGAGCGACCATGGCTTGGCATGTGCGTTCGTGTGAGGGTTACTGGACTGCGTTAAACATCTTCTTTGCACTTCAATCCAAATAGATGAGTTGTCTATTGACCAGCTATTAAGTTGAACGTGAGCATTTATTAAAGATGAAGAATTGGAAGAGGGACTGGCAGTTGTGGCAGTGCGAAAAACATGGGACGAGGTGAGGAAACTTCCTACCAGGGATCCACATGGCTCCATAACATGCTACTGTTGCAACGGTCCCAATCATTTTGCAAAGGACTGCAAAAGAACTATATACCAAAAGGTGGACACCTAGGATGTGATGTCATGAATGCAATGCAGTAGGCCATGTAGTCCACAATAGCTTAGGAAACAATTCGGGGGAATAGGCCTCAGCACCAGTTTATGCCCCAAGCTCAATATGAAGGAGGCGCTACCTGAAATTGCTGTAAGCATCAATGGAATCAAGAGTTTAGCCTTGCTAGAGACAGGCTTTTCTTGATCACTCAAGCAGACCACTTTGACAGTCTTGGAAGAGGAAAGACGTGGACGTGCTCACCGGTGGTGGTAAGGCTTATTTAACTTGACGTGAGCAACAGGCCCCCTACTGATGTTGTGGTTCTGGTTGTGGACAGAATTGCTTGTTTTTGACATCAAGAAGTTGGGAGGAGCAAGTGTGTCCAGTGTGAGCTTTCCCCCAACTTGACTGGTCTTTGTGTGTGGCCAACAAACCTGACTTCCATGTGGAGCATGATCAGAACAAGAATATCTGGGTTGTGACCAGACACCACCCATGTTGAAGAACTATACAGCTGAATTCCCAGTACCAAAGCCGCTCAGGGAGGAGTATATTCGTGATCTATAAACCTGGATGAATAATGGCTGGCTACTTGTGTTCTGAGGAAGAACTTGGTCCTCCCAAGGGCTTGATCCCTCTAATGGCTTTGCTGCAGGATTGTTACTGCATCAGGATGCTGCTAGCATCATCTGATAGCTGTAGTCACTATTCTGCGAGGGACAGCCACCTGCCGAAGCTGCTCATTGACAATGGTGCAGCATTCTGTGGGGAGGTATTCACTAAGAACTGCTGAGAACTGTGGTGTTTGACTTAGATTCTGGTGTGCCCATAAACCATCAGGGAATGGCATCATGGAGAGATGCCATTGCACCATCATGCGTATCACTGCTTGGTCGGGATGTTCCATTATGGAGCCATTATAACGGTATAATGCGGCACCAAAAAATGTCACAACAGCTTCATCGGTACCAGCTAACTTCATAAATGGTGCTGATGCTGCACCACCACTTCAACACACAGATCCTGGAATCTACAGAGTGGGAGATGCAGTATTGGTAATGACCCCACAGGGTTGATGTTCAATACAATTCAAAAAAAAAAAAAAAAAAGAACAGTGACAACATTCAGTTCTCATCAATGAAAAGCTACGCCATATCAGAGACCTCTGTCCATGTCAGAGAACTGCATCGTCGGAAAATAATGGCAGTGAAATGTTGAAAAAAGCGACTCAGATTCGGCGCTGTTTTTCTGCGCAGGGTCAGATCATTTATCTATGGAACCAGCAGAAACAGATGCTGGAGACACCGATGATGCCAATAATGAAGGAGACTAAGTAGCCACAAATGCAGAAGAAATAAGTGGAGTCCATCCACTTTTACATAGAAACCATCAACAAAGGTGAACGCCATCTCCATGTCATTTATGTGAACAGGAGATCAGGGAGGAGTATAGAAAAGAAGATGACTTACCTCATGTGGCAAAGTGAGCACATATATGTCTAGCATGCAAAACGAGTAAAGGAAAGGAAAAAGAAATATGGCTCCCCGACACATTAATTTAAGAAAGACACAGTCTTGGAGCTAGAATTCACGAGAGTGGGTGAACGTATTCAAATTTTTTTGCGATATTAGCAGGGCATAAAAATCATGATGCGAGAGAGTATAGTTGATTTTGTTTTTGAATGTGGTGCTGCTTGTACGGAGAGACTTTGTCAGTTGAAAGAGATTACTTGGATTAATTTCACACAGACATGAAGACTGCATTCTTGCAAGGTGAAGAAACTGAACGGGATGTCTATATTAGACCCTCATCAGTGTCTAATACAGACATCCCATTCAATTTCTATAATTTTAATTGATATACAAGGTGTCCCACCAAAAATAACAAAAACAAAAACAAAACAAAAAAAAAACATACTCTTTGAAGTTAACCACAGTTGGGATCATTGAATAAATGCAAATGATCCTTTCTTTAGCTGCATAGTATGTCCTTCGTCAGGGCTACATACAATTTTGAATTCAGAGTTTTCCTTCTAGACCAGTTGCCACCCATAGCTATAGAACCCAATTTGTCCTACTATTTACCAATTACTTACTCTTTAAATGACAATAAATACAGTGTTTATTGAATTGCAAACAAAATGAATGGTTAAAATTAAGAAATATTAATGTTTATTGACTTACAAAGATTAACAGTCTAACTATTAAATGAAATTAAATGCATGAATCTGAAAAAATTTAAAATGTTATATGAAGTCAAAAAGTGAGTACATTTTTTTGGGACACCCTGTATATGGGTTAGATGGAGAGAGACCTAACTGCCAATCTGGTACCACTAGGAAAGTTCATCAAAACAATTGCTATGAAAATATTTATAGAAATGACACAAGGAATCTATGTTATGGTGGTGGGAACGTGATTGAAGCAGAGATGCCAATAAGACTGCAGATTCTTCTTTTTCAATTTGCTAATGATGTAATTGGATAATACTTATGCATTTTTTAAAACTCATTTAACAGTTTATAGCTATAGCATAACATACAAACTTACAAATAAAAACAAATTGTAGAAGGCTCCAGAAAGTCATAGTACTTACTACTAATATAGGATTTTAGAGATTTCATGTTGGTGGGAGTGGGTGACATTTTTTAAAAATAAACTGAATTAAGCCATTCTTCACTATTTTTGAACAAAAGTTCATTGAATTATGATACAGGAAATCAATTATTTTACAAAAAATCATAACCCCAATATATATATATATATATATATACACACACACACTACATTTCAAATGTTTGAAACCACCCCCTGGTAATTTTTTAAATTGGCACAAAAAGTAATTTCTTTTCTACTTTAAATAAGGGAAAATTATTATACAGTGAGACAGGATTTTTTTTTTAGAAATTTTGCAAAAAGAAGAAAAGCATTTTATGATTAAATTTTGCTATCAAAATAGCCTCCTTTTGCCTTGATTACTGTAGCACAAATTTTTGGCATTCATTGCAAAAGTTTCTCAAAATATTTTTAATAATTGATTCCATTCTCTAAGAGCTCTTTTTCATTTTTTTCACTCTTCTGTCAAGTTCATCCCATGCCAATTCTTACGGTAGCTTCGAACATTTGAACTGCAGTATATAAAAATAAAGACGTGTGTATTTTCTGTTTCTTTATAGCATGAGTAAACTTGTATAAAAAGAATATATTCTCTAGTTACATTAGATAAAGATTATCCTTCCTGCATAGATAAGCCAAGAAAAAAACTCATAACTTGACCTACATGTTTTTTGCATCAAAGTCTTACATGTGAACCATGACTTTTTTTTGTTACAGGAGGAAGTAAAAAATTGTTAAGCTTTTTAAAACCTATCATGCCCTTTTTTTTTTTAGATGACACTAATGGAATTTACAAACTGATACATTAACACATTTGTTATACCTCAACTATTCTGTAAGAAAATGGAAGCAAAAACTGGCATGTAGGGCAATTTTTTTTAATGTCAGATTTACCTGCAATGGATTACAACTGGAACATCTTTTCTTGTCCTCTCAGACAACATTGTAATAGCATCTAAGATGGAAGACTGATCTTCCACATCTGGAACTCCATGGTCTGGCCATTCAGCTAAATGAAGCTGTGTAATTTCTTGAACCTTGTCATTTTGCTTCGCTTTCATTTTACGAATTATAAAATCAGAAGATATTTTATTTTCTGATTCCTGTTGAAAATAAAATAAATAAATAAAAACAATTAATCGTTTACATTATAACATAATCAAAACGTGTTTGACTGGGCATGTAAAGAAAGTTCAGTAATTTTCAGAATTAAATGTTTAACCTTGAGTTTCAAATAACACAGGATGACTGGGACTTTTAAATAATTCTTTATAATTTTCAGTAATGAAACACTTTAATACTTGCCACCTAAATTAAGAGGTAGAAGAAAATTTCCTGAATATTTAATAAAAGGGGTGGTTGGAATAAGGATTTCCCAGGTGGATTTTCCTCAAAAAAAAAAAAAAAAAAAAAAAAAAAAAAAAAATATAATAATCTTCCCAGCCTGTCTATCAGTAACTCAAAGGTAAATGGTCTCATTTGAGAATTAAACTATACTAATAAAATAAAAATTTGTTCAAAACACCTAACTTCAAATAATATTTGTTGTACATAGAAGTTAGGTGTTTTGAAAATTGTTGTGTTTGTTGCCCTGGGCAATCATCCAAAAAGGGACCCTGTTTCCTTGTGTGTGTGATGCAAGAATGTCTCTCCTATCTGAGGTGGGTGTTTATATATTCACCTGCTATGTGATTCAGTTGCAGGAGGTGGTTTACCCATTTCAGCAGTTGGAAAATGATCCCCGCAAAAAAAAAAATCTCCAGAGAATTTACAGATTGAATGATGTTCTAGGAAGCAATGGAGGTTATATTGATGATTAAATATTTCTAGAAGCATTGGTATCTTCATTTGTGATATCAGTCAGTTATGTGCCATATCTGATAAACACTTAGGCAATCATGTATCTTTCGATACATGACTGACGAGGCAGATTTTTTCCTGCATTAGGTTGTCATTTCTTTTTGCAGGAGACTAGTTACCATCCAAGGCTATAGAACCTGATCTATCCTGCTAGTTACCTATAGCTGAGGGGGGAGGGAGAAGAAGAGGATTCATACCAAGGGTATTAGCATGTAAGTTGTAGAATAACAATAATAATAGAAGGTCATAGTTGACTTAGTCCGAAAAGGCATCGCAACATTTCAAAAAGAAAGAATAACCTGCCTTGCCCCAGATTGGAGCAAAGACGGAATGGGCTTCCTACTTCTGCAGAAGTATTGCTCATGCACCACTGACAAAGCCCCAGTTTGCTGCCCTGAAGGTTGGCGCCTGATATTTGCTGGTAGCAGATTCTGCATTGATGCTGAGCGCAGATATGCACCTATTGAAGGCGAAGCAGCAGCAATTGCATGGGCATTGGAAAAATGTCGGATTTTTTGTAATGGGTTGCCTGAATCTCATAGTGGTTACAGATCATGAACCACTAAAAGGATTATTCGGAGATAGAGACCTTAGTAAAATCCAAAACCCCGATTATTCAGGTTAAAGGAGAAAACCCTCAGGTACAGATTCACCATTCAGCACTGCCCTGGGAAATGGCACAGAGCCTCCGATGCTGTCTCTCGTAACCCAGCAGACATCTCACAGGCACTCCTAAATGTATTCACTGCTGAACCCTCTCAATCAGACATCATAGAGTCTGACAACATGGATGACTGGGTCAAATCAAAAACCTTATTAGCAACATTCGGTGCAAATGACAACCTGGAGCTCATCTCAGCAGGCGTTATCCGACGGGCGGGACGCAGCGACCAAGTAATACAAAAAAAAAATTAATAGAAGTAATACAAAACGGATTCCAAAGAACGCGTGATCCTCACTGCACCTGAAATCCATGAATATTGGGAAGTGAGGCACCGCCTAAGTGTTGACGACGGGGTTAGTGCTCTTAGATCAAAGAATTGTTATCCCCACCTCACAACGCCGCAAAAAAATATTACATAGCCTACATTCTGCACATCAAGGCGAAGTTGGCATGAAGGCACGTGCCAATGAATCTGTTTATTGGCCGGGATGAATGCTTCAATTCGTAATATTAGAGCAGGTTGTAACGTTCTGCTCAAAAATGCCCCGAGTCAACCAAAAGAGCCAATCAATTTGACACCATCTCCTGATTGGCCATTTCAGCAAATCGTCATGGACATCTTCCATGTTGGAAACCATGGTTACTTAGCATGCGCTGACAGGTTAACGGGCTGGCTGAATCTATACCACTTGAGCCACGGAGAAGCTAATGCCTCAAGGATTATTTCGATTTGCGAGACATATTCCAAAACCTACGGCGCCCTGAGAACTCAGCAGTGATGGTGGGCCACCCTTCACATCTCTTCCATTCAAGCAATTTTTGCAAGACTGGGCTGTTAAACAAAGGTTATCATCTGCTGGTTACCCACAATCCAATGGTCGAGCAGAGCTCGCTGTCAAAACAGCCAAGAGAATCGTAAATGGCAAACACAGGAGCCCAAGGATCATTGGATAATAACCGTGCAGCAAGAGCCATCCTCAATACAGGAATACGCCCATTCAAAACATTGGGCTATCCCCTGCTCAACTACTACTCCACCGCCGACTCACGTGACTACATACCATCCCACCCAACACTCTATAAGCCACACGCGAATTGGATAACCGCAGCACAAAATCGTGAGATAAGTTTGTCCCGCCGAACGCTTTCGTCTCATAGAGCGATACAACAGAACAGCACACACTTTAAACCCCTTCAAAAGGACAAATAGTGGCACTACAAAGACCAACAACCCGTCGATGGGACACAACAGGTCAGGTCATTGAAACCCTCCCCAACCACCAATACCGTATCAGAGTTGACGGATCAGGTAGAATTACCTTATTTAAATCGCCGATTTCTCAGGAAACTGGATACACCAACAATTCCAGTTCCAAGACCTAGTGCAATACCTGAGACCCCTACACCAGTGCAACAAACAGTCGACGCTGGAATAACATCAAACACTGCTCAGCCGTCTACAATAACACGGACAAAAACCCTCGGGCATTGTCCAGACTACTTCCGCACAACCAGCCAGGTTTAAAGGAACTCATCCCTCCCCAAAGGCCACTACCCACACGCCGATGGGGAAGAAGATGTAGAATAACAATAATAATAAAGCACTTACGGGGCGTAAAGAGTTCCAACTAGCGTCCAGCTGGCAGACAAAAATAAAGCAGGTTGTAACTTAATACATATCCTGCAAACTGAGAAATCATGCTAGTATTTATATAGTAATACTTCCACTCAGGTACCAGCAGCCAATCATAGCCCAAGCAATGGACTATCCCACTTTAGCATAATGAGATGCTCCATTGCACCATAAATGGCTCTGTCTCTATGTTGAATTAGTTCTTCACTCAGCTTGCTCCACAACTGAGTGGTTATCTTGACCACGTGATTGTTCGACATAAGTGAATGTAATCAATTCAACTGGAATTTGAACTTGGCTCTCCGATTCCTCAGTCTGAGCCGTTATCCATTACTCCACCATGCCTTACAATTAAATCAGACAGAACTTTTGTTTCAACTGATATAATATTAATTGAACCATTTGTTAAAATAGATAATTTAGAATTTTTTAATTCAGTATTCACAAATGAAACCTTTTAATCTCTGATGGCCTTCAACTGTTGCCCTGAAGCCCATGTCCTGATTGAAATTGATTTTAATTGTGGCAATACCTATAATGCTTCAGAAAAAAATGTTACCTTTTTTATTCCAAAATAAAATAATTCAGAAGGTAATTTTTAAGAAGTGACATTTTTATTAGGTTGGTGCAAAAATAATGACGTAAGAATGTCGTTTTTTGACGTAGAAAAGTACGTCAAAGAATGTCGTTTTTTGACATAGAAAAGTACGTCAAAAAACGTCATTATTTTTGCACCAACCTAATAAAAGCAGAATTACTGAGCAAAAGCCATTGTAATCAACTATTAAGCTAACAATATTGGTACAAGAACAAAGTTGTTTCAAAACAAAAAAAAACTATTTTGTAGGTAGGAAGGTATTTTACTCACCAATTTCACTTCTATCGTACCAAACATTTTACTCTCACCGTCCTTTGGCCAATATCGTTCACATTTAGGCTGGAAAAAAAAAAACAAATAGGAATTAAAAGAAACAAATAGGAATGAAAGTTTGGTAAAAGAATTCACGAGTGGAATATCCAGTGGGGGTTAGACTTATGAGCAATAAGATTAACATGCAAGCCTTAATTAACAGAAGCTGCTAACTTTAATAGATATTTAATGGAAATTCATGCTGGTAATATTCTTTTACAGAGTTTTGTATGAGTTTCAAGTGCGATGTCCAATGTTTTATTCTAATAGAATAGTTTTATGTTTCACATCACACTTTACTTTCAAATCTTAAATTTTAAATTCTTTTAATCTTTTGAATGGTCCTGTTTCGCATTACTTACTGAATGTATCAATGTTCCAGAACAGTTATTAGCATGGAAACTGGAACCAGCAAGCAATGGTTAAATTCCTGCTTCATCTATTGCATTTGTTTTTCACACAAATGTCATTGAGAAGCCAGGTCTTGGCTTGGTTGGCAACTAGTCTAAGAGAAGAACTACTACGAATTGAAAACCATAGAGAAGGCAACCGAGAACCATTCCACTATCTTTACAAAGAAATTGTTGTAGGTGGTATATTGGCCCGCAAACAAATATTGAATGACGGAAGACAACAACAAACCAAACGAAGACTTGGGTCTAAAAAAATATTGCCAAGTGTATCTTTGCTAAAGAAAAATACATAAAAACAAAAATAATTGTACAGTGCACTAGGCAAAAAGAATAAATAAAAAAAATAACTTCATGTAAAATGTGAGAGTAGTGTTGTCCTGAAAAGGACAGATTATTGCATATCATTGGCAAGGATGGTTGGAGTGACAGGAGCTGGAGATGACTGGAGCAATAAGAGCTGGTAACCTACTGAAGACGGCGGGAGTTATGGGCAATGGCAAGCTTGGGTTGATGATGGCTAGCCAGCTGGAAATGCTGCTGATTGCTGAAGTTGTGAGCTGGCCGTTGGCTGGATGAACAGATACTACACTTTGATCCTAGTCATCGGAGCCACAGAACGCTTGGTTTTACCCATACCTCCCCACTGAAATGGGACGTGACACAATGTGAGGCTTATTGTGGGGAACCTGAACATGTACACTAAGTACAAAATTTGCCCACACTCCCGCAACTGTCAATTGTGCTGGTCTCAGTGGCGACCATTGATCCCCTTCTCTAGTGTAATGAGAAGGTGAAGCCTTGAGTAGCTGTTCCCCAGGGCCGGACACTTCAATGTATTATTTTTCTCAGCTGCATCTCTATCAATGGACAGAGCCACAATTGAGTTGTATTCTGCCTGAAGACAGAGATGCAACTGAGAGATGATAAGCATCCCTCGGCAAAGCTGTGGAACACTTTTTTTTTTTTGTTGCTTTTAAGGCCTCTTTATATCCTGAATCAGTCTTACAATAACACTAGTTATGCATTTTCTTCCACTTGTTTTTAAAAAAAACGTGGGAGTGCTGACAGGACACAACAAAGTCACAGAATTTTACTGAGAAAAAAAAAAAAAAATGAAATTTTTGGAGAGCTGTGATTTGCCTACATCCTGAAGGGATATGGCATTAAAAAAAAAAAAAAAAAAAAAAATAAAGCATAGATAGCTGATTTTTTTTAATCATCTTACTCCAAGCAAGGCAATAAGGCCACTAAGATGAAAGACTAGTGAATATGAGAGAACAATAAAAGTACAAAAGTGTTATATAGGAATAAAGTGTTGCTGCTGACACTGGAGTTTGAACACAGACCACCAGAGAACAAACACAGGTGATCCCATTTTGAATAAGTAGATCATGTGATGATAAAGGAAATATATGTATGGGAATTAGTGTGGCATCTAAGTGATCACTATATGGATTACTATTTGGATCACTATTCGGTGGTTACTATTCGAGCAAATATTATTGAGCAAGTACTATTAATGCGAGTGTTATTTGAAGGCGTCTGACACCAGTATCGTTCAATGGCGTTACTATAGTTGCATCTGTGATTACAAAGTCTCTACTACAACAAGCATTATGAAAGTGGTAATGAGTGTTTGTTGACATCACAAAAAAAGATAACAATTGATACTGCATTTAAATTTTTTAAAGATCAAAGATGACGGGAAATCAAGAGGCTGAAAGAGTTCCATAAGCAAGAAGTGTGAGAGAAGAAACTGTTAGCAGTTAGATCTAAAGCCATTTCAACTGTAAAATAATGAAACCTTGCACCAATCTAATAGTACCATACCAAACAAGTTATCTCTAATATGTGAAATGTGTATCTGGGGTTTTTCTCAAAACTATAAAAAGATCCTTAAATCTGAATATTCTGAATCACTATTGTCTAGGGAAGGTTCTTATACTATTTATTTGAACCTACACCCAGACATATGTACTGGGAATTTATTAGTCTTTCGTTTTTGAAGTAATTTAAAAATTGCAATTTACATTTAAATTAATCCTTAAAAACTGGGTTTTTCATTTAAGATCTAATTATAGATAATAATAATTAATTATAGTTTATCAGAATATTTTAATTTGTATTTTTACCAAGTGTTATTTGGGTTTTACTTTTTAAAAAACGTTTTTATAAAATTTTCTTTTCTTGCACTTCTCACTTGCTTCCCTGTCACCTAAAATCTTTAAAAATTTAAATGCAACATCAATTGTCATCTTTATGAATCCTTGTTCCCTATTTTCTTTTCTCCTCACTAAAGTCTTCTCATTTTCTTTCACTCTCTGTAACACTTTGCATCCTAATGGCTTTATTGCCTTGTTTGGGGTGAGTGGAATGATTAAAAAAAAAAAAAAAAAAGGTTTCACTTCCCTTGCTTGCAAGTAAATGTAATGTTTATGCTAAATAATAAGGTAAGGTTGATGTTAATATTTTTTTGCCTCTAGAGTGGATTTAACTAAAACTGTTTCAAAATTCTAAGGTGTAAGCTTGAAATATATTTGAAACTTTGTCAAATACAGTTTTCATTCTAACAATTTTAATGAGCTAGACTACAACATTTTCAATAATTATTTAAAACATTTGGGGGGGGGGATTTCTTTGGAAGTGTGCAGAAGCAAATCTAATTTTAACGGCTGACCTTAAAATATCTGCTTTTCAAAAGCAATGTTTCATTCAATAGCCAGACATTGCAAAGATTATAGTTTATCCGTTGATAGGCCATTGTCGTTATCCTTGGAGTTATATATTTTTTAATTTATGTTCAAAAATTTACTTACTGTAAATTAATTTATCCATATTTGTTTTTAATTTTCCCCAACTACACAGTTTCATGGTGTAACTTCACTTGTCAAGAGTTGTTTTTGATAAAATGGTATATATATATATATATATATATATATATATATATATATATATATATATATATAGCACATTGCATACTGGTGTTAATAAAATAGTGCTCAATGGAATGTAACAGAGGTATAAATTATATATTAACAAATATACCCCCACTGGTAACATGACTGAGTTTACTTTAAGTAATTTATATGTGTGTGTTTCCCGCCTTTTTCTTTCTGTTTACTTTACATACAAAATTCATAATTTAAAAAATTTTTCTTTTATATTTATGTTTATCTTAAATAAAAAAACTGTTTTTTGTGTTTTTTTTTATAACAACAATTCCCTTATGAAATATGGACTGCCCATTCATTGCAATAAACCAATATATTTAACAAAATTTAAATTATGTAATGGTTAGTCTCAAATACAGCACCTGAAAATTGTATTGTAAATGAAAATCTTAGTTGTGCTACTGGTGAGGAAAAAGGTGTGTGTGTGTGTGTGTGTGTGTGTGTGTGTGTGTGTATATATATATATATATATATATAGCAGACAAGCAGATATGAGTGTTCAAGAGAAATCATGGTAAATTTGTTGTTTAAAAACATTAATTTGACTTTGCTAACCAGATGCTTCCTCTGTAGCTAAATGGTATAGCATGTCAGGCTATTTGACGGTTCTGTGTAGGATACAGGTTCAATTCCTGTCAGAGGACATATTTTCTATGAAATTTCTCAGACATTCAGGCCATGAATATAGTTCTATATATAATTGTATTTTCTATGTAAAGCTTTGCAGTTATTTTTATTAATGCTTTTTTTCTGGTTTCTACTGCTTTCTGATTGCCATTCTATAAATCTTACTTATTATAAAACGCAGATTGTGTGTGTATGTGTGTGTACGTTTATATATTGGATTGGATTTCCTACATTTTTCAACCGATTTCAACAAAACTTCACAGGACTACGTAAAATTACCATGCGGTGGTTCTGACAGTGCCAAAAATTGGAAAAACAATTGTTTTTGCACAAAATCAATTTGAAAACACGATGAAGAGGCATCACTCACCAGAATGAAAGGGGGACAACTCATATCGAGTTATACTTATAAAACCCAGGTTGTTTGCGTTGTGTGTGTTCATTTATATATGAGATCGGATTTCCTACATTTTTCAACAGATTTCAACAAAACTTCACTTTTTTTTTGGCAGGTAGTGTTTCTTATTGTCTTGCACACTTTTTTTCTTTATTTTTACATTCAGAATGCTTTAAAAATTCCATTTACAAGACAATTGTTGATAATAAAATTCTATTCAATCGGTAGACTCATAACGATTGAAAACAATGTTTTTTGTTTGAGTTTGACCAATTAAAAAAAAAAAAAAAAACTAATTAAGACATGCATGTCCGTCAAGCTTAAACAATAATCTTTGTCAATTTTATTTTTCAGTCTTTATGATGGTTGATACTTGATCTATCTCTTACTGTTACATCCCCGGGCAACGCCAGGCTCTACTGCTAGTCATTAATATCCTACATGGATCAGAAATAAATCAGTCAAGCAAGATAAACTTTCATGCCTTATTCTTCGGAAGCTGTCTTTATGTGACAGCTGCCTTATTGATTAGGCTATGAAGGCTAATCAATTACTGTAATTCAAATCTACCCATGCAATTTTATTTCTGCTATGTTTGTTTGTTGTTTGCATACACTAGCATAAATATTAATTTCAATATTATTCCAATTTCTCAAATGAAGCAAGATCAGTTATTCGTTTTTGACAAGTATTTCTTTTATCTTAGATGCAGTTACTTTTTTTTTTGCAATTCCCAGATGATTGTCTCATGGTCATTAGCAAGAAATATGAACTGAAAATAAAGAATAAGCCTCCCTTGAGACAAACTCATCTCATCTTTGGTTTGCCTATGTTACTGCGGCAGATGCATTACCAATTAAGCCATGAAGACCAACATATTCTTTAGTCATTTGAAAATATTCAATATTGTTAGAGAAGAATTTCACCACTCCCCTCTTCTCATACACTCTTCTTGTTCTGAGTATATATGATTCCTTAGGCAGTGGTAATTCGTAAGTCAGAAACAAGACTGATGACACTATTTAATTTTCTAATTTTACTAGAACTTGCATTAAACATGGTGAAAAGGATTTTCCAGTTATGGAACACCCTTGTTAGTTATTTTTTGCCCTCCCTTATAACTGTTTGAAGATGCTTCCTTTGTGACGAGAACAGAGATGAGGATATTAGTCTGAATAAAGACAAAGAGGCAATGATTAACCTTTGTACCGACATAAAAACAAAAAAGCGTATCAAAATGATGGTTTTTCCCTTGACGCCACTGTTATTTTAACTACCTTCACTCAGCAATGTTTGTTTTAAAAAGCAATAATTAGAATTTTAATAAAACCTAAAACATATGTTTAAAGTGAGTTTATACATTTATTTTGTTCGAGAATTTACAACAACATTATTAGATTGTTTATTGGAATGGTTGGCAAAATGATAAATATTGCATTGTATTAATTTTAATACAATTAGCATAAGTTTTTAGAATGTTATAAATATAAAATTATTCTTGTAAATAATCAAATGTGTTACACAATATTTTACACTTTGTCATGCATTTGCCAAACAAAATCTACAAATGTCAAGTTCAGTAATTATAACTTTTATAAGATTCACCTGATTAAGGAGAATATGTGCAAGTGGGAGGCAGACAACACATGCTTGCACATGTGAGAGAGTGTGTACAAGAGTGGTAAGTTAGATGCACATATGAAAGGGCGAGGGAAAATGCACATATGAGAAAGTAAGGGACGCATGTATGCACATGCAAGAATTTGCATGCACACAAGACAGCATGCATAAGAGAATGAGAGAACACATGTGAAAGAAGGAATCTGAGAGAGAGATACCTTATTGCTTTCTTCTTCTTTACAGGCCATCACAACTGTGTCGATGTTCAGTTCCATTATCATTCGCCAGAAATCACCTACCGTGTTGGGTAAAGGCCCTTGAGATGCAATGTAACCATGTCCTTTATTTGCTGACTGAAAGTAAACAAAATTATATTACTTTCTTAAAAACAATTTGCCATTTAGCTAAAAGAAATAAAATTAAAAATATTTATATATTTTATTATATACTTTTATTTCATTTTAATCAATTCTCCTAAGCATGTTGACAATGCTGTTAAGAAGCAGGGGATGACTGGGAGAATGAAAAAGACTTTAAAAGGAACCTGAAACCCAATCCTAAACAGAAAACAAGGGATAGACCTCTACTCCTGTTCAAAAGACTGGAGAGGAATGTAAACCAAACAATAGGTGAACATATCTACTCCTATTGAGAAAAAAATTAAATAGTAACTAAAATTTCAGAGATTGGGTGGAAGACGTTAGAAATATACCATTGAAGTAGACTTTACAGGGAACTGGGTACCCAATCCTAAACAGGAAATGAGGGATAAAGCACTAATCCTGTTCAAAAGATTGGGGAGGAGTGAGATCTAAAAGAGAGGTGAACCTATTTACTCCTATTGAGGAAAAAAATAAATAATAACTAAAATTTCGGAGTTTAGGTGGAGACATTAGAAGTGTAGAGTTGAAGTAGACTTTAGAAGAAACCAGAAACCCAATCCTAAACATATTATTGTTCATTTTGAATTATTTTATAAATTTAGAGAAGTTACAAAGAAATCAAATGTAATATTTTTAATATCAATCATATTTGGAAAGCTTCTATCCAGTTTCTCTTTTTGCCCACAAGAAACCGCTTGCTTTTGCAATAACTGCAACAATACCTGCTTGCTGTATGGCTGAATATTCTATAGTTTTCTCTTTCCACTAAAATTGTAACAATCAAAATTGTAACAAAATGTCTTTAAGGTTACTCTTCTTATGACACACATTCTTGAAATTGAAAAAAATCACTTTCATTATATATCTACTAAAGCAGTATTCTAAAGTCTACAAACATATCCATATGGAGAGTAAAAACTTTTATGAAACTTTTAAAGCCACAGTTAAAAAAAAAGTACTAGATTGGCAGATAGGTCTCATCATTTTAGTGTTGAAATGGCTAGATATAACCAAGTTCTATGCTAACAGTTTCTTCTCTCACACTTCTCACTTGTGGAACTCTTCTGACTTCTTGCTTTCCAGACAAGGTTGGTCCTCATAAATTTAAATGCAATGTCAATCATTATCATCTGTTTTCTTAATTCTTGTTCTTTTATTTTTTTCTCTCCTTTATAGTATTTTATTTTTTCATATTCTTGACCACCCAGAAAGCCCCTTGCATCTTAGTGGCTTTATTAGTTTGCTTGGGATGAAATGATTAATCAATTGTTCTCAGTGCTGTAATGTTTCTTTCTGACCATATTTTCTTGTGTATAATACAACCCTGGGTTTCTAAAGCTAAAAACAGTTAATAAATTACTACATATATACTCGTGTATAAGCTGACTTCATGTATAGTGTGACTACTGATTTTTTTCATGAATTTTAACTCCTAGAGAAAAAAAATTGTGTATATATAGAGCAATAGTATGGTTACTGAAAATGCATAAATCTGAACTTAAAAAAAAAAAAACTGTGTGTAGTGCCCCCTCCCCTAATTTTTTGCATAAAAATACAGATCATAAAAACTTGTGCTATACTAGAGTATATATAGTCCATTCTCAAGGATAGTATGACTCTTCAGTACAGTCATCGCTACGCCTATATAAAGACGTTCAATTACGCTGATTTCCAAAGAACAAATATTGCCGACATATCAAATACCTTTAGTAAACAATTGTTATCAACACCTGCCTACTTTGTGTTGACTAATTGTATTTGCAATCTTGCTGTTTCAAGTAAGAGCTTTTTTTCTCAGTGATATTGATGGATTTGTTCTCTACAGCTTATCAAACTCATTTTTGCGGGAAATTTAAGGCCAGAAGATATTTTTAGATTGCAAAAACATTTTTTTTCAATAATGATTTAGTGATACAAGTTTTACTAATTAACCCATTAGAGGAGAAGAAGTGGTTTCATACCCTTCCCTAGGGTATTTGTGCATAAATGAATATAATGAACCCAACTGGAATTGGAACTTGGCTCTCCGATTAACAATTCCAGGTTATTATCCATTACCCCACAAGCACATTCAAGCTTACAGTACCTGATATTCCTAAGGAGTCACCTCTCTAGGTACTGACCAGGCTCAATGTTGCTTAACTTCAGTGATTGTATAAGAACTGGTGTTTCAACATGTGGTTATAATCTGAGTAAAAATTTCTTAAAATGCATACTTGTGTATAATATGACCCCCAATTTTTTGCCTTTAATTTTTGTTAAAAGTTTTCATATTATGTGCAAGAAAATACGACAATATGGCCTGTGCCCTAATTTTATATAATGCAGATGTTTGTTTAGCAGCATTACAACTCTTTATAGATCATTTAGTTTTAAATTTAGTTTTCTTTGACAAAAATGTATTGTTGGTAATTATTTTATTTATATGCATAACTGGTAATTTTTATCTTTTTACAAATATATATTGCTGGTAACTTTTTTTTACTATAAACATGTTTATACTTTCATAGAGTTTTGACCCCATTTTGGGGGTTAACTATTTGCCCATAGCTACGCCCCTAACAGATTCATACCTTTCCTAAAGGTATTTATGTATAAGTGAATATATATATATATATATATATATATATATATATATATATATATGTGTGTGTGTGTGTAATTGTCATCTTTGATAATGGCTTATGTAAGCCAAAAGCTTAGATTGGATTAAAAAATATGTATCAATGTTGTGATTTTCTATCTTCATTTAATGATAATGTTATTAAGCTTATCAGACGTTATGAAAAGAATTTACATAAAATAAATAGACAACACTTGTCTATATTATTTAATGAAACATTATATATATATATAAGTACATAATTTTATACTTTCAGGGCATGTGTATGTTTTTTTTTTTTATTAGGTTATAGTTTATAGATCATAAAATGTATTGTTGATATTTTTACTATAAAAATGTATTTTTATATTTTTGTAACATTGCATTGATTGCCATTTTGCTATAAAAATGTATTATTGCTCAATTTATTATAAACATGTGCTGTTGATTTTTGTTTGAGAGTTCACTATTTGTCCATAGCTCTGACCCTGTCAGGTGCTACCATTCTGGGTCAGGGTGGACCTAGGAACAGCAACAATTAAGAGGTCGTTCCATGCTCCTCAAAACACCCAGATCAGAGGCCTTACTGCCAGATGTTGTTTATCATCATATGCAGAATGATAATGCAGTTACATTTTAACTTTGTAACAAGCCAGACTATTCTTTTTCCATGTTAATTATTACCCCTTGTATAATATGAAAGTGCTGAAAAGTTCTTGGCCTGAACTACTTTTTAAAATTTGTATTTCCAAATTTCAAAATGTGTCTGAAAGTGTTAAAAAGAAAAAAAAAATCTTGAAAAATGATATGTCAGGCATATTGAACTTACATGGAAAATATGTGGAATAACCTGGATGTTTCATGGCTCTAAGTTATTTTTCTTGGTTAGGCTGATAACTTTACAACACACCCTTGTAAATAGTTTTTATTATGAATAGGCATGGATATTTACTAAGCTTAGTTTATTCTGAGACAAAGCCTGAAAGTGTGATAGCCCCCACTGGGGATTGAACTGATTATACAGAGATCAAAATCTGCAAATTTTCAAAGTAAAAAAAAAAGGAAAGTTAAAAAATATAGAACAGGCCAACAGAGTTCCAAAAGGTACAAATGATGATGAGTTTGAGGAAAAACTGAAGTGTGATTTGCATAGCAGTGTTGATTTGGCATCAGATCTTCATGATATATAAAAACACAACTGGGTACTGTTTTAGTTTAAGTAAAAGTCATCCTCTTCTTTATGGGAAATCAAAGAAGCAATCCAGCTTTTCTGTTTATCTGTGAAGCAGAATCTATAGCCATAGTTAATTAGAGCAATACAGATAGGAAATTGTGGAGAGCCATAATTGCCTATGATCTGATAGAACATGACACATAAAAGATGTAAATGTGTATTGACAATTTCTGTTTGAATTTCTAAGATGAGTTATTTTTACATTCAGACTATTGTCATAATATTTGTTGTTATTATCACAATGTTTCAGCCATTTTTACTTTCTTCAGGTGTTTGTTAATCTTGCTATCCTTCAGGTAATTTTGAACTGAATCTACAGGGGTAGATCGAACTTATTTCACTGTCCATGTCTAGGGATATCTTGTCTTGTTCTTATTTAGTACTGGTAAGTTATTGCTAGTACTATTTTCATTGAGTCTAAGTCTATACTACTGGGCCCAGGGACTGAACACGCAATTACTATGTGACCACATTCATGAATCAATACTAATTCACTGGGGGGGGATTGTCAACAGGACAAAATCTCTAGATACAAATGGTGGAATGAGAACAATTAAATGGTGATCATTTTTTTCCCAACCTACCCACACCTATTCTGAACCCTACCATTTATTTTATTTTCCACTTTTTCCAAGCTGTCCATTATTCAAGCTTTCTCTTTGGTTTTTTTTTTGTTCTGAAAATAAATGAATTTTGAATAAATTTTCCAAACCACCCCTTTATTCAAACCTATCCTTTTATTCCAGACTGAAAAATCAGTGTTTACAAAGGTTAATGTGGTATAAGGCTAAAAGTATGGGAGCAGAGCACTTTGACATGGTGTAATGGTTAGTAAGTTTGTCTTGCTAGATAAATTACAATTGAGTAGCAAGTTTGATTCTCACTAGGTGCTCCATAATTTCAGCCTTGTGCCACATCTAAACTACACTTACAAAATCCCTATAAGCATGAGAGTATTCATTAATAACAGTTTGAAAAACTAGTTAGCTTCTCTCACAGTTTGATATCTATCTCACATACTGAAAATTTAGCTTGTAAAACTGGTGTAGAAAATTATATTTCATTGGCTAATTGTTGTTGCTGATGATAGGGCTGGCTGTTTTGAATTTTTTATAAATAGAATTTTTGGAAAAA